GCCTGCTACCTATGTCAGCAGGTGTCCCAGTCATTTTGCTCTTCGGCTGGCTCTCTGAGTCTTTCGGTTCAGCTGAAGAGCTAGCCTTTTCCTTTTCGGGCCCTTTTTCTCTGGGTACAGATCCTTGGGCCGAAGCACTTAGGCCTTTCGGCTTTTTTGTGCTTGGATCTATTTCTTTTTCTTTCTCTTCCTCATCCTTGTCGTCATCTGGGGGACTACTGGATGGCTTGAGGTAGTTGCATCTTCGGGCGTCATTTTGGTTGCCCTGTATCCTTTCGGGGAAGTCAGCGTCTGAGACGTAAATCATCAGCTGATGATAAGTTGAGACGACCCCTTGGATCTCATGAATTATAGGTCTCCCCAGAATCACGTTGTATACTGAAGGAGCCTCAATGACCAAAAATTCAATCATGACATTCCTGGCTGCCTCATCGCAGCCGATGGTGACAGGAAGTGTCACCTTCCCATCTGGATAAGTTGAAGCCCCGTTGAACCCGGACACCGGGTAGGGTACCGGCGTAAGGTGCTTGGGCTTCAGCTTGATATGATTGTAGGCCTTTCGGAACAGAATGTTTGCTCCGCTGCCACTGTCAACAAGGACCTTACTGACGTCGTGGTTGGCCACCGTGGCGATGATCACCAACCGGTCCTCGTGAGGGAACGTTACCCCTCGGCAGTTGGCGGCTGTGAACGTCATGTTCGGCACCGGCGACTGGGGAGGCTGAATGTCAGCGTTGTTCACCTGGTGGGTCAGAGCCCTAAGGTGTCGCTTGTGCTCCCTCCGAGAGCATATTCCTCCCGAGATAACATTGATCGGAGAGAATTTTCCCTCTGGCTTTTTACTGTTCTTCCGGGGGAAGTCGAGGTCTTGCCGAGAGTCCTTTGCTGACTTCTCGGACTCATTTTTCTCGCGGTGATCCGCGATGTATTTTTTCAAGTATCCCTTCCGGACCATGTCCTCTATCTGGTCCTTCAGTTGGATACATTCCTCAGTGTTATGTCCCGGAGATTCGTGGAACTCGCACCACTGATTTTTATTTTTTCGCTGATACCACTCTGGGAGTGGTCTCGGCTTTCGGTAACTCTGCTCCTCCTTCGTCACGCTGTAAATTTTGGCGCGTGGAAGAGAGAGCGGAGTATAGGACTCGTATCTGCCTGTGTATGAGGCGGATTTTTCCTTCTTTGGGTCGCTGGCCGAAGATTGTTCCGAGGCCTTTGCTTTTCCCTTTGTCCTCTGGCCTTGGCCTTCAGACAAGGGTATTTTTTTTTGCTTCCCTCCCCCAGATTGAGGTTGGGTTTTTTCTTTGTTCCACTCTTCGGCTCGGATGAATTTATCCGAGGCGCTCAGAGCTTCCTCCAAGGTCTGCGGGGTATGCATGACCATGAAGTCTAGGAACTTCCCGGGCTAAAGGCCGTTCTGCATTGCAAAAACGGCTAGCCCCTGATCTAGCTGAGAGACGCTGGATGACTCGTTGCTGAAACGGGTCAGATAGTCTCGGAGGCTTTCAGTCTCCCCCTGTTGCAGACCCATGAGTTCTGCAGTAGTCTTCTCTCGACGGTTTGCCGTGGAAAACTTGCTCCTAAATTTGGAGGACAGATCATCCCACCCCGTTATAGAGCCTTGCTTTACTCCCTTGGAGATCCATGCTTGCGCGACCCCCTTGAGAGTGGTTGGGAAATATTTGCACCAAGTCGCTTCGGATCTGGGGCAAAGATGCATATGAGCCTCATACGAGGCAACGTGGTCCTTCGGATCCGAAGTCCCATCATATGTGATGTGCGACGGTATTTTAACCGTGGGCACGTGCTCTTCCAGTATCCATTGCTCGAATGGGGAACTGGCGGGTAGCATAACGGCTTTGCCCTTGTTCCTGGCCGAAGGGACCGCGCTCCGCCCTCTTAGAGAGGTAGGAGTGGTTTTCGTCCCTGGCTGGGAAGTCCGGGCCTCGGCTTCAGGGAACGAGAGGCGACTGTGCACGCTCGGTTCCTTGCCGCCGAGTCGATCGAGAACGCTTCGGCGAGCAGTCTCAGGTTGTTCTTGGCGAGCAGCTTCCGGCCGAGAAGCTGAGCTGTTGCTCTTATGCGTTTCCTGTCGGGAGGTCGAGGATCCTCTGAAGAATTGAGGGTTCTTTTTCCTCTCTTTTTCAGTTTTCCAGGTATCCTCTTCCCACTCTTCCAATTCCCGGAAGGAAGGAAGTTTCCCACCATCATGGTCTAGCTTCCTCCGCTGATGCCGGGTATGCGGAGGAGTTTGATCGCGAGGTGGCGGCATATTTTGTGCCCTCATTGCCTCCATGAGCACTACCAGCGCTCTTGCCACCTCCTCCGAGCTGGGCCCCGTCAAAGGGGTCCTCGGCTGAGTATGGGAATGAGAGCGGACGGTCGATGGTTGGCTTTGGGGCACTGAATGTGTCCTATGATCGGACTGACCCCTGCTAGACCGAGAGTGACTCGGCCTATGATGAGAGTTATGAATTACGGGAGAAAGGGAATCCTCCCTGTATGATCCTCCCCCCGAGCTGGCACCCTTGGGAGAGTTTCGGTCCGGCGAGGGTGATGGTGTAGGGGTTTTAGGCTTTTCGCCTGCTCCTTGACGGAGGCTTTTGCTCTTGCGGTTCTTAGCCATTGCTACTAAGATAATTGCAAGATGATTTTGGTTAGAAATTTGGCTTAAAGATTTTTGAAAGTCTTCCCCACAGACGGCGCCAAATTGTTTCGGGTGAAAACAATGGGACCTCGTCAAAGGTCCGATGAAGTGGAGAAGACTGGATTCGGTCCAAGTGATGTTGGGCCGAAGGTTTCCTGCACAGTAAACACACGTAAACTAGCCTCGGGGGTGTTGCCGAGGAAGGCCCCTCCGATGCTAAAGTCAGTACAGTGTGTAGAGAGAGAACACTATGCAAGAGAATTAATTGCTTGAGGCTTCGTTTGAATGAATGTACAAATGTAATATTGATGGCTTTTATACCTTTGCATATATGGAGAAGTTGGGCCTTAGCCCAATTGACTTGCCTTGGACTGATCTTGACTTTAGCACAATTGGGGAGTTGAACCTTGACCTTGGGCTTTTAATTGGATCATTTAATGACTAGGCCCAATTGGACTAAATTGGACCCAAACACCAAAGTTAAGAACTTGCTGTCTTGGTCTTGTTATTACCATTTTGTCCCTGCAACATCTGCCACAATACTACTCTTCAAATCCTGCATTCTTTCAAAGACTGTCAACCAAATGCAGAGCCATAATAACAGAACTGTCACCCTGCGCGGATTTCATAAGGGATGAATCGTCCATTCCCGAAGAGGCTTGCTGCAACGGGGTGCACAATGTGGCCGGGTTAGCCAAGGACCGATCAGCTGTGGCGGAGATTTGTGAGTGCCTTAAGCAAGGATTAGATGATACCACTTATGATCCTACTAAAGTTCATCAGTTCCCTACTAAGTGTGGAGCTAATATTGATTTCCCTCCTGTTAATTTTAATATTGATTGCACTCAATAACTTTACTTGCTTTCCAATATCTAAGATTGTTTTTCTTCAAATGATATATCTCGTGCCAATGTACGGATTAATTCGTGTTACATGTATCAGTATCATGATAATTGTATGAAGTTACCGTGCATACTATGCATATAAGAAGATTAGACTTATAGATGATCATCATGTTTAGTTGGAAACTGAATTTGATTAACTAGTTCAATTTGGAACTGTTTTGTTTATATACACTTTTCTTTTAGTCTAGGTTGTATCTATGCTAATGCACGAGTTAATTCTTTTCGACAAAAAACAATTGTTGATATTGGGGCTTCCAAAAAAGATATTGGAAATGTTAATGGAATAGGTAAATTTTTTTTTCCCACAATATAGAATACTAGAATAGGTAGTTATAGGTCATTTTATGAAAAATAAAAATAAAATATATGGTTAAGATTTTGGAAAATTGACTGAAATTATTATACATATATACTCGTGTATTGGTTTCATGTTAAACGAATGAGTTATTTTGTTGCCTATCATCTCATTAGATTAAAGTGAACAAGTTGAGATTTTCCCTATGTAGCCATGAAAGATTGTCCAAAAATAAAATAAAATATTATCAGTATTAAAAACTAACCCAATCCAAGTAGACCTACCATAACTCAAATCCTAACTAGAGTCAAGCCAATAACCCACATTTACACCTCGTCTTATTCTTAGTCGTTTTCTTACACCACTCAAGGACTAAAAGAATAACGGAATACTTTGGATCATTTTCCAAAGTAAGCTTTATTAGAAAACTATTTTGTAAAGTAGGCTCGTGGTCATTATTTACCAAACTAAGCTTTTAGGGTAAAACGCTGTCTCGAACAGCATTTTATACCCTTGGTTTAAAAAAAAAAATTCAACGTGTAAAATGTTGTCTAACTTTTTTTTTTAAATTTTGTAATTTTTTATTTTAAAATATACAAAAAAAAAATTACACTAAAAACGCTAACTGACTCGGTCAGCGTTTTTAGTGTAAATTTTTTTTTTTTTTTTTTAAATTCTTAAGTTTTTATTTGCTAAGCACCCTCATCTTCCTTATTTTTCTTTTCTCGGTTCCGAAACAATGGCAGTAGAAGTCATGATTCCCAACCTTGATGAACCAAGCAAGCCCATCACCCTAATCGACGTCCAAAACTGCATTAAGCTTACCCGAACAAATTATGTTGCCTGGAAAACACAACTCCAGGCTACACGATCTCTGGAAATTCATCGATGGAAGCTACCCATCGATGGAAGCATTTCCTATAATCAAGGATATTAGTTGAGCAATCTCTGTACTGTCAAGTGTAGGATGTTAAGTTTTGCTTAAATTTTTTTTTTAATCAGAAATTAAGAATTTTTTTTTAAAAAATAAATAAATAAAGTACGAAATTGTAAACAGCCCTTTACACATTAAATTTTTATTTTTTTTAAAAAAATCAGGGTATAAAACACTTTTACTTTACAAAATAGTTTTCTGATAAAACTTATTTTGGTTAAAAATCCTAAAAGAATAACGGAATACTTTACCATACACTTTTTCAAATGTTGTTTTTAACATTTCTGCATTTGGTTACTTCACGTACACCTCCCATGTTATCGACCTTTAAATCAGCCAATGAAGATTGAAAGAGTGCAAAAAATTAACCAAATTCTGCTTCTATCTTTTGAACTCATCAAATTCTGCTTCCACTTTTTTTGCTGTAAGTAATCTGTACTCTGTTTAATCCTTCAATTCCATCATAATTTTTTCAAATAAACACTTAATTCTGGAAAAAAAAAAAACTAGTGAGAGAATAATCTCCTGCTTTTGGGAATTAAGTTATTTAATTTGGTTGATAATTGATGTAAATGTGACTTGCTTCTGTAATTGTAAGAGGGCTTTTTTTAGCAAGGCAAGTAATTTGTTTGCTCCTCTTTGAGACTATGATTGATTTTGTGTTCCAGTTTCCAAGTATATGGGAATTTAGGGTTTATGTTTTTGTACGGACAAAAAAAATTGTATGTTATATTAGGAGTTTTGGTGTATAAAAATTCAGTTATATTTTCATCTTTTGCTATATGTATGTACTACGTATTAAATATGTTGCTGAAATTATTTGTATTACAATATGAAAAAGTTGATATTTTAGTACTAATTTGGTAGTTCAGCCGTTTTTTAACTGTAATTTTGCCTATTTTTGTGGTGTAATGGCTGGAATTTCTTGTGGGAAGTGATTGGTTTTTGTTCTTTGAGAAGACGATTTAGTGCTTAATTGTAATTTAGTAGTGAATCTATCAAACTTGTTTAATTGTATGTTAGAATTGTAAAATGCAATTTTTTTTTTCGCCAATAAGCCTTTAAAGGGTGTTGTTGGAAGTGCAATCTTAGACTCCAGAGATTGGTTTGCTGCAAGTTTTCTTATGGAATGTATTGTGTCTGTTACATTATCTAATCACTCCTTGCTACATTTTCAGATAACTAAACAAGGCAACCTTTTCCAAAGATGTTATCACCCGTCATTGAGCCACATTGTTCCTCGCGGTAATAAAAGTGATGAGAACTCCCGATCACCATATCCAAGCGCACTCAGTCAACTTGGATGTGGAATTAGTAATAATGTTTTGTCACACATTCATAATGGAGGCAACATTGGTGGTAATGGGGGTTTTAGAGCGCATTTTGGATGGAATAAATGGTTCCCTGCTGTCATATTACCTGATAGTGTTGTACCGTTGTTATCTAGAAAGATTTCAAGCGTAGCTGGTGAAGGATTTGATAATGCTCAACATCCTCAACATCATGGTGACAACAATATTAGCATTTTAACTAGTGAAAATGTTGAAGTAGTGTCCTCACAAGTTCCTGCCATTAATGAGGTAGCTATCGCAGCTGCTGATTCTGCCTTCCCAGTTGCTGCACTGCAGTACTTGATTGATGCTGTGCAGACATTGACTGGATTGAATTGGTATATCTTCTTGTTTTATACTTTTATTAATATATATTTTTGTAAGGCCGGCTATTTTATTTTCATCTCTAATATTTTTCTTATTTTGTTGACCTTAACAGCTCTTTGTGTTTGAAGTCTATTATAAGATTAAACATTTAAACCACCCTAAAAGATCAGTCTTTCGGTTTATTATATTAACAATTTGTTTATTGACGGGGATGACAGGGGCAGTCTGTCTGTTTACTTTGATTTAGTGATATAATTTCCATTTCAAGCGCTTAGTGCTTTTGAAATACTAGTAACAAAACTACGAAGTATGTGATAATATAGCTTAAGCTCACGAAGTATTTGCATTCTAGTGCAATATAACAAGGTGTTGAGATTGGAACTTCTGTATTTTCGGGTGGGCTAGAGAGAAGATATCTTTGACTAGTGAATCAGGCTATGTAATCATGTCCAGAATATCAAGGGGGTTAAGAACCTGAAATGGGCACATTCTTTTCTTATACATTCCACTACAAACTTGATTAAAATCAGTTAAACACATGGTCTACCCACTTGCTTATACATTCTCTCTCCTCTCCTTAAAGTGTGTGCCTAGATTAAATGTGTCATCTAAAAAGAAACAAGGAAGTACTTGTTATTTTGGTTTTTGAGAGGGGGGAATACTAATATTTCATTGTTATTTTAACTCACTTAATCATTGCTTACTACAATTTCATTAGTGCAACACGCTGAGAAGCTTGAAAGGACATCCGTCAGCAGGTGACTTTAAGAGATACTCAAGGGACTTTGTTATTCTTGTAGTGCCCCTTACAATGTATTTTTCTAAGGTATTTCACTATTTCCGATGGCCTTCATTAAATGTTAACAAGACTTGTACAAAGTTTTGTAGAGAAATAAGTAAAAATAGTTAATCATAGTTGTTTTATCTCATTTCATATGACTGAGATCAGTGTTTGCATGCTCCTCCACGCCACCAGGTTACCCCACTTATTGTTGGCTCATTGGCTGTACTTTGTATATGCTTTTTCTAATGGTGAAGCCTAAATTTTTTATTTCATGTAAGCTGTTTTTTTTTTTTTGGACTTATTATTAGCCAAGGGTTCTTAAAAAGAAAAAAGGGAACAAAGATTAGAAAAGAACATACAGGAAAGCCATCGGCTTGTTGCACGAATTGAACCCAAGCATGAAATCAAGTGTGGAGCTCTATTTGGAGTAAAATCCATCACTATAATAGCTTCTCGAATGCTTGAAAGAATTGTGCAAAGATACTGTCAAGAAGTCTTTTAAGGCAGTCCCTGTCTACCAGTCCCTTCCCATTTCCAATGCGGCTAGCATTATTCTGATGTAAAACCCCACGTTATGTGATTCAGTGATTGAGTTCGGGTTCGCATATTGATTTCTCTAAATGCATACCTGTGCTCCCTTGTGTATGAATTTCTGATTTAATTCCCTAATATTGAGGATGACAATATTATTGCAGGCATTCTTCTGTTATTTGATAACCTCCAGGCTGTTTGCGTTGTCATGTGGAGCAGGTGAGTCTTTGTCCCTTTAACTTGTTAAATCTAGTATAATAATCCTATACATAATTGAATGATGGCTTTTAAGCAAGCATCTCTGCCCATTATTATCTACTATTGCTTCATAGCTTTTTATCAGTCTTTTTGCCACAAATCTCAGCCATCCACAGTCCATGAACACCCGATAAGTTGAGCCAGAGTACAAAACTAGTATTCTTACCTTCTAGATGGAATTACCACCGAAATGGCCACAATTTGGTTTTGTGTTTGAAGTCCAATCTGCCTGAAAATCTTGCTCCTAGTATTATATATGTTTGTTTGAATTATCTTTCCTATCAATTAGGGAAACAAATAGAAATAAGAGTTACTGAAGTTTGTTCCTCGTATGCATTTTGTACGTGGATTCTATTCGCTGAAGGCTCACAGCAGCATCATTAGAACCTTGTTCTGGTGTCCACTTTAGCCTTAAGAACTATAGAAACTTCTATAGAATTGTATGCATTGGTTAGAAATTTCAAAGTGGTTTAATAAAGCTGGTCATGGTCGGGCTAGGCCCTTTGACAAGAATTGGGCAGGGTCAGAAACCTTGCTGTCCCTTTTCTAAAAACAATTTATTTGTCTGCTGGTTGCAGAAAATATTACCTCATTAATGAATCACAGCTGTGAATGTCCACATTGTGATACTTTTTCTTTCCTGCAGCTATTAAGCGCTCAGAAGCGAGAAAGTTCTTGGATCTTCCAATAGCACCCGCCCCTAAATCTTCTCCTCATACATCCACCTCACAGTCCCAATCCGAGTCTTCCTCAGATTCAGCAATTCAACAAGATAACACGAACAAGGAACCTAAACAGCCTGATGAGCCATGAAGTTGCATATTTCTCTAATTTCTGTCCAGTACAGGCTAGCAATTGTGAAACAATCAGATAAAAGATCAGATAATCTTGAGGCATAGGTCCAGTACTCCATTCCTGTTCCTGTGTTCAAGTTATAAGGCCTCAGGAACACATTTCTCATTGCAGTTATTTAGAGTTATGATATTTTGTCATTTAGAGGGAGTATGTTAGACGATAAGGTCAGACAGATGTAATAGAAGACCTCACATGCAATGTGTTATGGGAATCCATTCAAGTGAACGTATGTAATTGAAGCCGTATTCTGTAAGGGAAGGTAGAAATGCGCATGTAAACTGTGTGCCTACTAAAAGGCTTCAATCTATTGTATAATATTATCGAGATTACAGCATGAATCGGATCCTTGCTCTACACGATGTCATGAAAATGAAGTATGTATATTTGCTATATTAATGATATTCCATTATCCTTCGTTCTAATCATTTACTTGTACTTCATATGAATTATGTGCATATGCTTTCTTCTTCTTCCCCATCTTTTTGGCCTAGTTTTTTCTACTTGTTTTTGATTGGTTTGGTGTTACAGTAGTTAGCAATATAAGCTTGCATTTTCTAGACGTGTTTTAAATAATATAGAGTACATTGTTAAATTCCATTTCTTAATCTGTTAAGATTTCGGTGGGACAATATTAAGAACAAAGTGAGTATTTTACAAAAGCTAACCACAATACACAACACAAACACCAAGTAAGGGCTGAGTGGCTGACAACTTAGCATGCTTAAACTACTCCCTCTAAATGACAAAATATCAGAACTCTAAATAATTTTTAAGGTTTTTTTTTTTTTTTTTTATAATTTTTTTTTATTTGTTTTTTATTGAAACAATAATAACTCGAGTTTTAAATGACAATTATGAAGTCCATATTAATACCTATTCATTCTTCTTTTAAAAATTTGGACTCATAATGTTTGAACAATTACTGTATAATTTATATTCTTTAAAATATTTAAGGGTAATGCTATATATAGCCCTAAGCTTAAGCATTACATACACTCTTGAAAATTGTATAAAATTAGAAATTCATGACAAAAACACGCGTAAATAAGTGTAATTAATGTTTATATTTTTATAATTTCTTAAATTTATACGATTTTCTAATGTGTATTTAATGCTTATATGTAGTTTTAAGGGTTATGTACATCATTTTTCAATATTTAAATACTTATTTGTCCTTGTTATGAAGTAATAATTTATCACTTCTTTGAACTCTGAGCATGTGGAAATTTATACTTTCAAAAACATTGGTTTGCAAGAGTAGCTCTTCTACTTACAAGTTAATCTCAATCTCAAGGATAAGCAATTGTGTTTTTGGGACAAAATTGAAAAACTTTACCCTAAAATCGTTAAAATCAGTGACGATTTTAGGATAAAACCGCTAACGTTAGTAACTAGTATTCCCTCCGTTTTTTTATAGGTTAGAGGTGAGATTGCGTAGAGTTTTAGGTAATTTAATAAAATAAGATGTTAGTAGGGTAGATAAGGTTATTATTTTATTGAAAAGTAAAGTGGTATGAGAGGGAGTGAGGACCATTAAAGGAGTGAAGAATGATAAAGTAAGAAACAATAGTGACATTGGTAGATAAAGATATAGTAGTATTATTCAATGGTAAGAGATTTTCAAAAATGAAACTCTAACTTATAAAAAAAAAAACTTACGAAAATAGTAATTTAAGCTTATTAAAAAAAAAACGGAGGCAGTAATAGTTTTACTCATGAGATCATAATTCATAAACCCTTGTCAACCCTAAGCAAACGAATGAATTCATCAGCTACACTTGCTCGGTTCTAATTCTAGCGATTCCCGTCAGCAATGTCGGAAGTGATTATTGTTTGATGCTAGGGTTTTGATCATTCCCCATTGTTTAGCTTCATTGAGGTTATTCTTTGCTGTAAGTCTGTAACTACACTTTTGTTCTTTCTTAAATTATTTATGATCATTCTTTGATTTTTGTCATGCTCAAGTTATATCTGTATTTCCAAATTGCATTTTCAAGTTAGCAATTAGGTTTATGATAATACGAATTGCATTAATAGTGATTGTACTGAGTTAGTCACTTCAACTGCTGTTTAATTTAATTGCTTAGTTGTGTCCTGTGTGCTTTCATTCATGTAGTAAATTAGGGTTTGTGTTGTTTTTCAGTATTTTACGCTGTCTATTTTGGTAGTGTAGTTAAGATGATTGGTTGCTTGATTGCTTTCATTATGTATGTATTGTGAATTGCAGCTCTTTCTTTGAACAATTATACCAAAAGTCGGGTTTTGGGTGTTGTATTTGTCTTGTGTTGGGTTACCTTATCTAATATATCCTCTAAATATTCAGATGGCTTGCCGTCAGATGTTAACTAAACAAGACACTCTCTTGCGGAGATGGTACCACCCTTTGTTGAGCCACATTGTTCATCATGGTCATGAAGCGATGAGAAATTTCCAATCGCCGTGTCTAAGTCAACCTGGATATGGAATTAGCGATATTGTTATGTCACAGATTCATACTAGAAACAGCATTGGTGGTAATGGGGGTTTCGGATCACTTTGTGGGCAGAATAAAAGTTTGCCTGCCTTCCTTTTCCCAGCAGCAGCAGCAGGGGTTGGACCGTCATTGTCTAGATATATGTCAAGTGCAACTGGAGAAGGCTCTGACAAAGTTGACAATCTTGGTGACATTGCCCACATTTTTACCGATAAAACTGTGGAAGCAGTTTCTTCAGCAACTCCTGCCGTTAATGAGGTGGCTGTTGCAGCTGCTGATTCTGCCTTCCCAGTTGCTGCACTTCAACACTTGATTGATGCTGTTCATTCATTTACTGGATTAAATTGGTATACCCTCCTTTTGTTTTATTATTTTAGTTTCTGTTAAATCGGTTCCTTGACTTTTATCTGTGGTGAGATTGGAGTAAAGAGGGAAAGGTGGTGAGATGGAAAGTTCCATTTTTTACGGTGGAGAGCTAGCATGGAAAGAGAGATCCTTTTGAATAATGTCAATATATGCTCATGCATATCTAAAAGTGGGCAAGGAATTGAGATAGGAACTTGCCTTTTTTTTTGGCAGAGGGCTGGAGTGGAAGGAGGATATCTTTGGCAATTGTATTGAGATAGAATCTTCTATTCTTATTGCTGGACAATAATCTGAATAGAGGATATCTCTTGACTTTTTTTTATTAGGTTATGCTAGTGTTTTTCTTTCTTTTATGATTAGAACTCAAAAGGTGTTTTGTTGAGGGGTTGGGGTTATAAAGTCTGAACCTTTGGTTTGGAAGCAATAGAAAATATATTAAAGGCGGAAGCATAAAAAATATCTGACAAAGAAGGATTGGATGAGAAATCCTTAAAGGCTTAAATTCTAGTAAGTAATATGTGATCTAGATTGGTCGTTGTGAGGCCTTACCATATTATCAAATTCGTTGTATTTTAGTCCAATTTTGTCATGGATTTCATATTTTGACTCTCTTTATATTCCAGGTGGGCAGCTATTGCTGTAACTACTATTTTAATTCGAGGAGCAACATTGCCTTTACTCATCAGTCAACTCAAAGCTACTTATAAACTCAATGTGAGTCTTTGTGCTTGAATTATGACATTCAATAAGCTGTCCAGAATTTATGTTATTTAATCGTTGATAATACAGCACAAGCTTCTGTAGGAAGATTTTAAATTTTTTGGATATCATTGTTATTTGTTACCGCTGACCCGCTGTTGATTTTTCATTTTTTTTTAAAAAAACAAAAAAAATTCTGTTTTGTACAACTGTATTTCTTATCTTAGTGTGATCTGTTTGATTGTAATGTCTAATAATAAAAAAATAAAAAAAGTGAAGTTATGTAATTGACATTGTTTGCAAGTCGCCATTTCACAATTATTTTTTATACTTCTACTGCTGTTTGTTTCCCTTTTATTTTTTTAGTTGTATGTGTGTGTGCGTGGTGGTGGTGGTGATGGGGGGGGGGTTTAGTTGTTGGCTTGTTGCAGCTGCTAAATGTACTAAAAAAGAGGTAATGTTGTTAGGCCATGCGACCCATCTCTTACATTTACATGATGAAGGTCTGATGCATGCAATCCTTACTGTTTTCATGTCAACTTGCTCTGTGTTTGATTTGTAGTTTATATATTCTAACCTTGTTACTAGTATGCCATTTTGATGCAATTTAATCCTGTGTAGTTGATAAGACCACGGTTGGAGGAGATAAAACAGACGGTGCAAGCTTCGGTATGAACTTCCCACCAGTTATTCACGTATTAGGTTAGGTTTATTTAATCTTAGATAAAAATTTTGAGGCTTACCAATATTCATGTTTATGCCTTTTTTCATTTCATATTAGTTGTTTGATGGGTGTTAACTACTTATCCTGATTTATATTTTTCAGGGTATGGATCCTGTTGCTGTTGCTGAAGGCCAAAAGGAAATGAATGCTTTGCTAAAACAGTAAGTAATTTCTTGTAGACCACTATCCTGGACATCTCACTATCTGAGAGATCCACTAATTTGCATAAGTTAGTCTTTTGCGTTGGCTGAAAATGCTGGACACATGTTAGTGTCTAATTTTCTTCGTTGCGGAACGCTGACAGATATGGAGTTAGCCCTCTCACTCCGTTGAAAGGACTTCTAATTCAAGGCCCAATCTTCGTCAGCTTTTTCTTAGCTGTAAGATTTTATTCCTGTAAGCATCTCTAATCTTTTGATTTTAATAGTATTACTCTAATTTTCATCTCAAAACTCTGTATTTATGTATCAGATCTCAAACATGGTTGAGAAGGTTCCATCAATGAAATCTGGTGGAGCGCTCTGGTTCACAGATCTCACTACTCCAGATAGTTTGTTTATTTTTCCAGTTCTAGCATCACTATCATTCTTGGTCCTTGTAGAGGTGAGGAGTTTCGATGTGCTTCTGAGCACCTCTTGCCGTTGCATTCCTTATCTTCTTCTGTTTCTATTTCTCTGTCAAAGTTGTTATCTCTTTTTATTGTCCTTTCTGAGGGAGAAGAGGAGGGTGCTGTTACTAACATTTTATTGCTGTTTCACTAACCTTAGTACAACATGCAAGAAGGCTTTGAAGGTAATCCTAACTCTGATAAAATGAAGAAGGTCTCAAGGATCTTTGCTATTCTTGCAGTGCCATTTACAATGGGTTTTCCTAAGGTATGCCAACATTTCCAGGTTCACAAAAGTTGCAGAAAAAAGGGTTTATCCTATTAGTTTCTTGTCAGTTCTAATAAATGGATTTCTGTGATATCAGTGCTATGTTTGAACCCCATTCCCCCCCCCCCTCTTCCTCTCTCTCTCTCTCTCTCTCTCTCTCTCTCTCTCTCTCTCTCTCTCTCTCTCTCTCTCTCTCTGTGGTTAGTTGACTGTACTATTTGAATAAGGGATTTTACTTCTACTCTTATTGTGGAGCCAAATTTTATGTGGGTGGGGGATGGGATATGAGCTTAAAATTATTTCATCCCTTATAGGCAAAGGGTAGGAAGAAAAAAGCGGATAAAATGAAAAGAAGAAATAAACAGTAAAAAATAAAAGCCAGACTTGTTGAAAGGCTTGAACAGATTACAACCTCACAAGCACATAAATAAGAGTGGAGGAGTAATTATTCTACTGTGCCCCTTTTACTTTCTAGTTTCTCCAATGAGGCTAGCATTATTCTCACGTAATGATTCCGTGTTGTATGCATTCATTAAGCTTATTGATGTCTACCAATTCATAAATGTGCAGCTTTTTGGATGTATGCCTGGTTTGATTTCTAATGCTGAGAAAGCCAATTTTATTTATTTCTTTATTTATTTTTATTGCAGGCACTCTTTTGTTATTGGATAACCTCCAACCTGTTTTCAATGTCATATGGATTAGGTGAATATTTGACTGTTTAATTTGTTGGTTTTCTGGGCTATTATGTAGAATTAGTATCTACAGTGGTGAACAAAATATGATTTTTCTCAGTTTCTTTTATCTTTGCGTGTTCAGTAGTATGGCAGTCCTTTTACCATGAGTCTCAGTCATCCATATCCCGTAATGCATATCGAGGTGCTTTTCTGACAAATAACAAAATTAAGCGCTTGTATGTTCATTGACAAGAGATAGCCTTTGGTTTATCATTACCAACTAGAAGTTCATTGCAGTGTTTGTAACCACTATAGCCTTAAAGCTCTATGGAGAATTCTGGAAAATTGTTTGCTTTGGCAGGAATTCTTGAAGTAATTTTATCTTCGAAAACTTTTTTATAATCCCTTTTCTAGAAACAGCATCTGGCAAGCTAGCTGTGGACTGTTCTGCAAGATTTCACTTTTCTCATTAAGAGTTGCAAATGTTTCACATTGTGAATTTTATCATAATTTTTCCTTTTTGCAGCTATTAGGCATCCAGAAGTGAGAAAGTTCTTGGATCTAACCGGAGCACCCTTATCTCCACCTAGTACACCCACATCACAGTCCCAGTCAGAGTTACCATCAGTTTCAGCAACCCAACAACAAAACACTCCATCGGAATCTAAGCCGCCGTCTGAGTCATCAAAAGTTGCTGACAGAAGGACATCTTCACATGCAATTATGAAACAAAGGATCAGATATCTTGAAGAAAAACTAAAGGGAAATAAGGGAAGGAAGAAAAAGAAGCAGTAGTAAATTGTACCCTATTATGCTACCGAAGCCTCCATTGTTTTTGTTGTCAGGTTTTTCATTCTATCAGAATCTAATTGAATATCTTTGTAAGCAACATTACAGCGCAACATTGTCGTTGAAGCCATTGCTCTAATTCCATGTTAAGAACGTGTATGATAGGCTTAATCAATTTTGTACCTTGATTCTTACTTCTATATACTCCTGTTTTCTTCACCTCCCTGCCGCCTCCTCTCTCTCTTTTGCTTGTAGATTTTTTTGACTTTGCCCCAGTAAAAAGGTTAATTGAAAGATTTGTTGTATTATAGTATAGTGAGCTACCATGTTTGTATTAGATTCCTGCTCCACCTTTTTGAATTATGTGATGTATAATAATAAGGGTAATGTTATACGTAGTCGTAAGGATAAAACACTTGTAATTAAAGGAAACTGCAGAGATTATGTTTGTATGCTGTATAGATATAAGTTTTGAATGATTGAAGACTAAATAACAGACTATTTATGCTAATGTGATGTACAATATGTTTTTTTTTTTCGGTATTCTTTAATTGCGATTGTTTAATAATTCATTTCCTTCATAAGAGATTGTGGGCTGATGCTTGTTAAAAACTTAACTTCTACGATGGTTAGAATACGACAGGTTACAGAAAACAGTTCACTAAGAATGATTTATTGGAAGTTATATTATTTTATTGGTTGTTTAAAGTAGTTGATCTAACCTACCACCCACCTCCAATCACAGAGAAATAGATCATTCTTGTTTTATAGCGTGAAATATACAAATGACTCCGTTGTATGATGTAATAAATACACATATAAAACCTGAAGATTAGAACATACACCCGGTTACATGCAACTTAAGAATAGTCCGATATATATTAAACATTTTATTATTATCTATAATCAAGAGAGAAATTAAGTAGCTTAGGAAGAATCCAAATATGTCCCGAAAGCAGTGAATTAGTCAAAAATAGTTGCTTTGTCACCCAAGTTTGTATTTTAACAAAAACTTGGTTGATTTTGGCCACCAAAAGCTTCTAACTTCTTGAAAGTCTTACCAAGGACATTTCTTGTGCCGTCTATATTCTATAAGAGCATTACCTTTATGGAGGGAAGAGAAAATATTGAAATCAAAACTGAAGTAATCTTCGACAAAAGACAAAGAAAAGATCTGCAAAAGGAATGGCAGAGAAGAAGTATGTGGTGGAGGTGGAGGGGGGCAAAGAAGCAAAACACGGGAGGCCATCAGTTGGACCAGTTTACAGGAGTGTTAATGCTAAAGATGGTTTCCCACCTCTTTTACCAGGAATGGAAACTTGCTGGGATATTTTCCGGTATGATCATCAATATTTTTTTTCATTTTAGTATTGTCAAGTATAAGATTATTTGTGCTTCACTTTACTAAATCATGTAAATAATCTGTATGCATATGGTTTGTTACTTGATACGTTGGTTTGTATTTCATGATTGCAGCATGTCAGTTGAGAAGTTCCCTGAGAATCAAATGCTTGGATATCGTGAAACCGAGAATGGCAAAGTAAGGAGGCTTACACTCTTACAGATTGTTCCTTTTTCTGTTTTGTGTGTCTTACCCACATGTTGACATGCTCGCTTTTTTATGTGCTACCATGGATAACTCACAGGCAGGAAACTATAATTGGTTAACATACAAGGAGGTTTATGACATTGTCATGAAAGTTGGAGCATCTATCCGCAGCTGTGGAGTCAATAAAGTGAGTTACTGTATATCTTGACATGATGAAACATTTCTTGTTTAAGGATGCATTTCTGCTGTTACTGGAAAAGTTATCATATAAAATCGAAAGCTAAGGGAGATAAAGGGGATACAGTGTAGATGAAAAAGCTGGGATGGGGAGGACAATTTGGATTTCTTCACCTCTTGCAAAAATTTTTGTTAGCTTCATGCCGTCAACCTGGCCAAGAAAATCATTTTCACCTTTTCACTGAACCAAACAGGGAGATATCAGAAAATTAATTTTCCTGTTAGAGGTGTTCCATTTAACCAAACACAACCTTAACATGGGGTTATTAGCAAAAACTTGTGTGTTTGGTATAGTACAGACTACAGAGTGGTTACTTTGTTTATTCATAGCATTATTCCTGGTAGTTGTAAGAGTGTTTACAGTTTAAGTCAGTTTCAGAGCCAACAAATGACATTCTGTAGGATATATATATATGTATGATTGATTATTGAAGTGGCTCGTTTTCCCAACCTTTTTTCATTTTTCTTTAATTTTGCAGGGAGAAAAATGTGGTATCTACAGTACTAATTGCCCGAAGTGGATGATCAGCATGCAGGTACAGATCTGATACCACTTGCAGATGTAGCAGTTTTTTCTATACTAAGAAGTAATGTTGATGTCTTTTGCTATAAATGTTTGCAGGCTTGTAATGCTCATGGATTGTATTGCGTCCCTCTTTATGATTCTTTAGGTATGAGTTCAACTATCTAGAAAGATGTCACTAGAATAGAGTTGTTTTTAGTTGGAGAGTGTATAAGCGTTAACATGTTTTTGCTAATAGGTTCTGGTGCAGTAGAATTCATTTTATGTCACGCAGAGGTGTCTATTGCTTTCGTCGAAGAAAAGAAGATGCCAGAGGTAAGTGAATTTAACATAGAGTTGCAGAGCTACATGCAAAGTTGCAATGTTCTGAAATATTAAATTTAATCTTACGACTTATGAGGATCTAGGCTAAGTGCATGTATGTTCAAGCTTCTTATCAATATCATCCTTTCTATCAGAATGATGTTAAAGGCAGAATTTGTTATAACTATAGCTCCTTTTGGACAGGTTATCAAGACATTGCCAAATACAACAAAATACTTGAAAAGTAAGTTGAATTTTTGTATCCTTATTACCGGTGAATGAAAAAAGTTTTTTTTTTTTTTTTTTTTTACTAACATATTCTTTCTGTAACACAGCACTTGTGAGCTTTGGCAAGGTTCAAACTGACCATAAAGAAGATGCTAAAAGATTAGGCTTGGCAGTCTACTCTTGGGATGAGTTTCTTCAACTGGTATGTCATGCTCAATTTCCTGTACTTTTTACCCTAAATTATTATTTTTTTCCCAATTTGGTGGTAATCTCCTCTAACTTGTACCAAGTAGCACTTCTAACACTCATCTGCTTGAAAATGCACATACAGGGAAACAATCAACATTTTGATCTTCCTGAAAAAAAGAAATCCGACATTTGCACAATAATGTATACTAGTGGTACAACAAGTGAACCCAAGGGAGTATTGATTTCAAATGAAACTGTTGTCACTGTTGTATCTGGCATTAATTTCTCTTTGAAGAGCATAAATGAAGAGGTAAGTTCAGAGTCATCCTTTCCTGCATGTGAAAACCAGACAATGTATTATGCCGTACTGGTATAAGTAGTTTGACATTTATTTTCTTTTCTTGTGATTCTCTTTGGAAAATTTGACAGCTTAGTCCGGATGATGTATACCTCTCATATCTTCCCCTAGCACATATCTTTGATCGAGTGGTTGAGGAATTGTTTATCTCAATTGGTGCTTCAATAGGATATTGGCGTGGGGTAAGTGAAAACTTTGAGGTATTTTTACAACAAATGAAAACTTTCTTCATACTTACTCGGTCTATTGCTTACTCAGGATGTCAAACTACTGGCTGAAGACATCAAGGATCTGAAACCAACACTTCTTTGTTCTGTTCCGCGTGTGCTAGAAAGAATTTATTCAGGTAAGCATCAGAAATGTTTTAATGTGCATAAGCCAACCAATAACAGTATATTATGGGAGTAGCCTCTGAAGCAGCTATTATGATCTTTTGTGCTGTTGCACTCACTGCTTTTTATACTGATGGCCCATCTACTGTATTTCTGTGTGACAACAGGTCTGATGGAAAAGATTTCATCTTCTGGAGCTCTGAAGCGTACATTATTCAATGTCGCCTACTCCTAGTAAGTTAAGCTTACAAAATATTTACTTACAAGAGAGACTTTTCATTCATATACAAATCCAGGACAGCATAGATATACATTTCCATTCCAGGGTGACCTTTCTTCTTGAACACTATGTCATACAGTATTACTTAAAGAGCTAAAGTTATCATTAGGAGCAGTATAGGGAAGTTCAAAGTTTAACGTACTAAATTTAGAAAGTGACCTAATACTGTCAGACAATTATAAGTAGTAAATGTGGCCCATTACTTAAAGACAGAGGGAGTATTACTTTAGAGAAGGTTTTTCAGCCAGAAACAAGCTTAAGCAGGAATTACCCTCTTCAACATCAAGCATCTGTAACACTTCGTTGAAGAAATCAGATTGGAGAAACAGTTATATAACCATAACCTGCAGGGATTCTAGTTGAGTATATGCAATCCTTGTAAATTGTCTAATAAAATTACATTAAATAACAAAAATAAAGATTATGGCAAAGATAAAAGAGTAAAGAAAAGCATATAAATCCACATAGTATAGCCTAGAATTAACTCAAAAATGTTCTTGGGGTACCTATGAACATAGGTAATTGTTTGTGACAGGATAGTCCAATTGTATTTTTTCTCTAATTGAAAGTAAAATAACCTATGTTTTGAATTATGCAGCAAATTGGGAAACTTAAACAAAGGGTATAAGCACGAAGAAGCTTCCCCCCTTTTTGATAAGATCGTTTTTAGTAAGGTAGTATGAGTTGTCATAAGAGTTTCAGATTGATGGATATTGCTTCTCCTCTTAAAAAGGTTTATTACTTTTAACTCTCCTCTTTAATATATGTGTTATCGTTGTGGCCTCAGATCAAGGAGGGTCTTGGAGGGAAACTTCGTTTAATTCTTTCAGGAGGAGCACCTCTTGCTCCCAGTGTAGAAACTTTCCTACGCGTGGTCACATGTGCTCATGTGCTTCAAGGATATGGTATGCTGTTTACTAGTCATTTCTCTGTATGAATAAATCAACACTAAACTCAACCCTTCTCCAAGTAATAGAACTAATAGTATAGAACTAGGGAAAAATACTGTATCTTCAAGATTATATAGACATTCTCACTAATAATAACAACAAATAGTGATTGTAATAGTAGTAAATTAAAATGACTGGATCTCCTATTATCACACAGGTCTTACTGAAAGCTGTGCAGCTTCATTCATTGCACAACCTCATGATATGGCAATGATTGGAACTGTGGGACCTCCTGTACCAAATGTTGATGTCTGCTTAGAATCAGTTCCAGTGATGGGGTATGATGCTCTTTCCAGCACCCCACGTGGAGAGGTATGCATTCGAGGAAATACCCTCTTCACAGGTTACTATAAACGAGAAGACCTCACTGACGAAGTCATGATTGACAGCTGGTTTCACACAGGTTAGTCTGACTTCTTTTTTTCTTCTTCATTTAGACTGATAAATTTTACTTCCTAGTTCGCAGCGGCTACAGCTGATCATAGGTAATGGCCAAAAAAAGCCTACATGTAGTAGTTACAACAACAGTATTTTGATATTTTAGATCATCAACTATCTATACAGGGGATATTGGAGAGTGGCAATCAGATGGGCGCATGAAGATCATTGATCGCAAGAAAAACATCTTCAAGCTCTCGCAAGGAGAATATGTTTCTGTTGAGAACTTGGAGAATACATACAGTCTTGCCTCAGAAATCGATTCTGTATGTCTGATCTATGCTGTACATAAGAATAAACAATTATGTAGGATCATTAGAATTATAATTTGCTTTGTTCTGAATTCATCTGTCTATTTCAGATATGGGTTTATGGAAACAGCTTCCAGTCTTTCCTCGTTGCTGTTATCAACCCCAACAGGAAGGCTCTAGAATCCTGGGCTGAAGAACAAGGTATTGCAGGTGATTTTAGTTCACTATGCCAGAATCCTGGAGCAAAGGCCTACTTCATTGAGAAACTCAACCAGATTGCCAAAGAGAACAAGGTACTTTGCTCTCTTGCGAATTTTGGTAGGTTTTGCACAGCACTATTCACAAGATAATATTGAGCTACCCGAAAAGTTAATGCCAAACAGACACTAAGGCCTAAATATCCATCTGAAAGTAGACATTAGAGCTTACAGTAGTGTTCAAAGGTTAAAAATCCAAGTTACAGTAGGTCCAGAGTTCAAATGCACTTTCTGTTTTCATCAATTCCTCCTGTAGTGACGTAGTCCATTTCATTTGCTTCCTTATAGTTGAAAGGTTTCGAGTTAATCAAAGCAGTACATCTTGACCCTGTGCCATTTGACATGGAACGCGATCTCTTGACCCCAACTTTTAAGAAGAAAAGGCCTCAATTGCTCCAGTATTACAAGGTTGGTACATCTTAATACATATGGTCATATGGATTTTCTGTTTTCAAGGCATAACATTATATTGGTCCCTAATGGAATTGTTCTTACAGGATGTTGTTGACACATTATACAAAGAACGGAACAAGAAATGAGTAATGACATTCATATCCAAACATCAACTCTGCTGCAAATTGGCCATCTATTACATTTTAATGCTTCCCTCAGTGACAAAGATTGTAAATTGACATGGATACACATGAAAAGATTTGATTTGTACATGTAGACTATGCTTCACTTTACGAAATATTTGATATACATATACAGAAGGAACTCCAGCGAACTCTATATGCTCGTCTAAACGATTCTACGTATACAGGATGATCTATCAATAAATACTACTATAATTTTACAAATTGAAGCAACATTTACTTGAAAAGAGAGAAGCTAACTTTCTTCAGAAATGAAATCAGGCTCAGTTGGCATTTGCAGGTTAAGGGAATCATCAGCAAACTTCTGGCATTTTGAAAACTGTTACGTTGCAGGTTACGCAGTGCATTGGCAGATGACTTTGACACAAGTAAGGTGGCACCTAAATTTTGTGAACTTCTCACCCTCAGCCTAAGTTTATTGTTCAATCTCTTGTAAAGATTACTTAAGCTTCATTTTGTAGTATTGCTGCCATGTTGCCTGTATGAAATGTGCTGCCCATGTTCTCCACCGTTGTGAACTTGTGAATAGAACCCTCTGAATGCATCATGATATATAGGTTATTATAAATTTTTTGACAGGTTAAAAAAAACAATATAATTAACCATCCCTTAAATTCACAGTTGACAAGACTGTTTTCTGGACTGACATCAAGCTTCAGAATAATTTTCAAAGTGTTCCAATAAGTTTACATTAGGGTTGATTCAGACAAGGACCACTAAGATAAGATCAAGAAGCTTGGATAACGGTTGACAAGTTCAGATAAGAACTAGCCAAACTCAATCCACTACAAAAACAAGTTTAGATAAGGGTTTTTCAGGTGACTTGAAACAACAAAGCCTTTTTTTCAAGGATTGCATTTGGCTATGTTGTAAACTATACAGAGCTGTTTTTATGAAACCACCTTCAGGCTGCTTAAAATGAAGACAACCAGCCTCCAACTACCAGTTATTGTTTAGTTCTATGGCAGCCTGGCCTGAGGAAAGAAAGAAACAGGCATAGACTTGCCTAAAAGTGTGTCTCATCCAGTTATTGGGGATGCGCTAAGGCATGAATGAGATGGTTCCAAGCACTAAGTAGTCTCCTGGGGCCTTTTTGGAGCCTTGGAAAGCACCTCAATGGATAACCTTGACGGGTCCATAAATGTTCAGTTAAGGCCAAATTTGAAGGCTATAATACACGAAATTTGACCATTTTTAAAGATTTTGGGACTCGTTGAAAAATCAAGTGATGGTAGGGAAAACATCTCGGGTTTTATTATGTTGTTTCGAACCATATATGATCTCTGTTTGGTCATATTAAGGCTCGTTGTAACCTTGAGTTAATGAAAGGAGGTGTATATATAATCGGCTAAATTGATCGTTGCAAAGTAGATGGTTCCAACCACCCAAATGGTCTCCCGAAGTCTTGAAAGGACCATGGGAAGCACCTTAACCACTTTCTTTTTTGGGTCCAAAAAAGTAAAAAAATTGTCCAAAAATGAAGGCTATAATCCACGTTTTTTGACCAATTTTGAGAATTTTTTCCAAAAAATTGAAGTGGATGTGTGGGGTGTCCCCTGAACTCATAAAAGTTGTTTTGAAACCATATCAGGTCTATCAATACGTCCATAGAGCCCCAACAATGAGTTTAGTTCAATTATATGTCTATTACAAAATTATGTTGTAGTGGCAGTCAAGGGATAAAACTCATACAAGAGATGATTTTAATCACCAATTTGACATCCTGGGGTCCTATTAGTAAACTATTTTGAGGCTGTGCTTGAGGCATTAAAGCACTTAATATAAAATAACCAAAGTTCAGAAATTTTGTCTACTTCTATTCTTAATATACAATGATATAGATTGACAGAAGTATCAGAGCCCATTTTTGTCAACTTTGACAGTATAGATAAGGACTGCTAAATAAAAAAAAAAAGACAAGCCTATACTTATAAAGGGTTTATGAAATGCATACTTAAGATTATGAAGGTCCCACCAAAAGAAGTACAGAGTTTCTCAAAGAGTTTAGTGGATTGTAACTCTGTACATTTGTAACACTTCTGAATTAAGAGCATCATAGAACAGGCCAAAGTTAAAGACTGTAGAATCTTAACTAGTAGTAATTAATTACAGAAATTCTGAAATACATGATGGCTTGATCCCTTGTCATTTGGCATGAGGCATGATCTCTTAACTAGTGACACTTCGCACGAAAACAGAAAGAAAATTGATGAAGAATTTGGAACATCACTTATGCAGCAAACTGGACATTTTTTAACTATACCATTTTACAAATTATACATGAAAAACAAGGTTACGAATAAGAAGCAACAATGACTTGAATGGAAGGATTCGGAAAGGCTAAGTGGCTAACCATCGTCAAATCGATGCAAAATCAGGTTCATCTGGCTTTGGCTTTGGCAAGTAGAGGAGGGGTGAGCTCGAAGGAATTTTGTTATATCCGGCAGTGCTACGTCGCAGGTTACGAAGTGCATTGGAAGCAAACCTTGATGCATACATTGCAACACTGAAGCTTAGTGAGCTTCCACCCTCCTTGGCAAGAGCGTATTCTTCGGCCTCTGGTAAAGATCTCTCAAGCTTCCTTCTGTAGTATCGCCTCCACGCTGCCTGTATGAAACAGGCTGCCCATGTCCTCCACAGTGGTGAATAAAACCTGAATGCATCACAATAGACACACTTTTACTGGTTTATGACACAAACATTAAAAGTGATGGTCATCTCAGAAATTATGACTATATTTAGTGAAAATTTTATAGTAGTCGTTTGAAATATGACTACCATAATGTTTTCTGGTCATGCATCATACTTGTCTTAAAATATTATCTTAAAATCTTTAGCCTCCAGCAATCATGTATTGCCTGACAACTTGGGAAAGAGTGAGACTTGCCTAAAGGTGTGTTGGACCTGCTTGCTGTGAAGCCTACGAAATTGCGAAGCCACAAACTTCAGATCATCAGGCATCAATGCAAAGGCTTCAACTTCTGTCTCACTTAGTACTGTCCTTGTTGAAATGGGAAGACTGGAAAAGGAATGTGGATCTAAGGCCCATGTGAGCAACTCTTCTCCACAGAAATCACCGGCTTTGAGGGAAACAGAATCAAAGAAACCAGTTATTCCCCCATTTGTGCTCATAGACAGTAGGCTTCCTCTCATAATAAAGAGCATCTCGTTAACTGGGTCACCCTCACGTACAATGTAGCTGTTTTTAGTATAAAGCACTGGTTTCAGATGATCAAACATTGCATCTTTTAGTTTCTCGTCCAACTTTGCAAACATTGGAACCTACACAACGCAAAAAAAACACCACGTAAATCATGATTGACTGTTTGAGGAGGAAAAAACGTTGTTAAAAAAAAAAGTTGTTTGGAATAAGGATAAATGGCAGATGTACTAACTCCCATAACAAGATCCAAGCCAAGATGCCGCTTTATGTCCATTCTAAGGTCCCTAGGAAGGGAATCAATTACACTTTCTTCACTAACACCTCTAGTTTCTTGCCAAACGTACTCGTGATGCCTTCTAATTCTCTCTTTTAAATTCACAGGCAACAAACGACGAGACATCCATTGCTCTACAGCTTGCTTTTTCTGTCTTCTGTCCTCTTCCAAGCCACCAATTGAAAGCATCATTTGAAGATATTTCTATTTACCATACATCCAACGCAATTATAAATCCTTCATTAGAGACCAACTCTAATTATTATTTTGTGCATCCGGGTGAACATAATGTGCACCCAAAGAACTTAAAGGGCAAATTTAAAGAACAAGAACAAAAATCAACAAACCTGAAAGTTAAAACAAAAGAGCATGAACCCTAACATAGATAAGGGTTAAAATGTTTAAACTCTGTACATAAGTATACATGGTGTATGTAAAAAAATACTCCCTCTATCCTAGAATAACTAGACTTTTTTCACTATTCATATATTAACTTGACTATAATTTTTTACTAGCATAATAAAAACATATTTTGTCATTTAATATGTTGTTAAATAGGTTTTAATATAAAGTTTCATAATATATTTTTTATTATAATTTTCATTAATATTTAATTATATAAAAATAAGGTCAAACTACTGCATTGACATGTGTGTAAAGGTTGATTGTGTTAGAGAGAGTACTGCCTTTTTTTTTTATACTATGTGCAACAAATGAGTTTACATGGATGTACTCCTAGGCAAATAAAAATTTGCGAGGGTTAAATAAAGGAAAGAAACATTTGTTGGGAATGTTAATCCCAAGTCCCACATGGAAGAAATAAGGAAAGGATGACTTTGTTATAAGTGGAAGCACACTTCATTAAAGGTGCCAAAAACCAAATTTGTGCAGGCTAAACCCAAAATTGACAATATCATACTAATGTCAAGTGGACTGTGCTTGTGGCCTAACAAGGTAGGTGATTTGGTTCCAATAATGACAACTAAAAAAGGAAAGAAAAACATTTGTTGCATTTAGCTACTTTTTTTTAGTAAATGTTATATTTCTAACTCAAAAAACATGTTAGTTTCTATTCATATAAAAGTATTAAAATTTATGGGTCAGATATCATTACCAAAACTCCAAAAGAACATAATAAAATATAGTTTGTAATTAAAAAAAAAAATGGTTCATATTAAAAAAGTTCTAGTAAAGAACAAATAGTTCAAATCCAAAGAGCTAGCATTTAGTTTAAAACTTTAGATCCAAAGAACATATAGTTTAATACCTTAAATCCAACGAAATTGGATGTATGAAACCTGGTGTTTAAGGTTTAATAAAACTCAAGAACTCAAATCATAAAATCAACAAGTGTGAAGCCATGGAGACGTTTTGGCTTGATAACTTTCTTAAGGAATCATTTTTATCAGCAACACTAATTTAGAAAATCAACACAAGTAACCAAATAGTCATGTTGAGAAACTTGCCTGCATGTTCCCAATCAGTAATGCAAACAGACTTAGTCCAGCAACACAAATTAACGTAGCAAATAAGTTCTCCCCAAAATAAGTACTACTTGTGTTGAGATTTTGACCACAAGAGCTGCAATGCAAGAGAAGTTGATATAATATTGGATAAACATATACGAACTTACAAAGTATAGCCTTAGCATTTCAAGTAACCTAAACTTGAGCTAATGAACAAGCACAAAAAGCACCTTAACTCAATTTCAAATTACAACAGAGATTGACAGATCAATGACTATAGGTATACAACAAACAAGCGATGTTGCTACGTTGGCTATACGCCTCTAGTGCCAATGTGACATCAAGACTTGGGATCAGAAACAGCCATATATCAGAATTAAAGCAGTTGCTCTTATAATAAGGATACTCATGTTTTGTAGGAATGTAGAATATAGCTAAGGTTTTTGGCCCTACACCGATTGTCATTGCATCACTTGCATGCATGTTTAACATCTTGGTATGGCCTGACTATATTTTTCTCATTTTTTTTTTTTACAAATATATTTTTCTCGTTTGATGGTTTAATTAACCAATTATCATCAAAATCAACTGAGCAAAATATAACTTTGGCTACACCGTGCACATGGGTTTATATAAAGAATCTCTCCTTTTTTTTCCGATTACAAAAGAAATTGTGTCATCTCCCTATATTTGCAATATTTAAAGAACAGAGGAAGTATTACATAAATATAGTCAAAGTTAAAGTGTTAGAAACTCAGACGAAATTCAATAATACCCAAAAACTACTGGATTGATTATGTGCTTACCTAAGACTCCGAAGGCCCCACCAGAAGCAGTAAGAGAGTTTCGGTAATGTATGAGTAGACTGTACCACTTCTGACCGAAGAGCATCATAGAATAAGCCATAGTTAAAGAAAGTAGAACCTATGATTTGGTTAGGATCCTCAAGGGAGCAGTACGAACTGTTGAATGCGTAGTTGACTCCGCTTTCATCTTTGCAAAATGAAAACATATGATCGCATCCATGTCCCATACAAGACTTGCGCCAGCATCTTCCCTGCCGATCAATAGCAAACAGATACCAAGATGCTCCAACCACCTGCGGTTTCAAATTATGGGTGGAATAAAGTTGTTAGAAAAGCCTAATTAGCCAACTACAAATTCGACATGAGCGCAAACTTTACAGCCAGACTGAATATCTAAACAAGCACCAAATGGTTTTGCTGTAAAGCTTGCCAAAATGGTTCTTAATTTTCTTTGCTTAAAGTGGCCTCTTGCTTCAGAAACTATTTTCATGCAAAGTAATGAAAGAGGAAGTCAAAGGAAGTTTTAAATATAGCTCCTTTCAACAGGAACATTCCAATATTATCTAATTCTAACCCATATCTTCTGTTAAGCAGCCTTGAACACTAGCAAGAGTAGCAATATGATCCATGATTCCATGATAAACGAGTTGGTGTGCATCATTATTGATTTTATGCTCATTTCCATTCCCTAATAAAATTTAGGTTAGTCCCAACTATATTAGAGATTAAATTGATTGAATGATCTAATAACTGATGTGAGCAAAATAAGTTCAAATATTTCAATATGAAGTTCCAAAATGGATTATCCAATTAAGACACAACTGACAATTTTTTCTAAAGAGTTTATATAAGTTGCAATGAATCTAAAAAGTTCCAATAATTTCTCAAAAGCAGTGAAAAGAAGAGAACTAGAGTGAATACTTACATGGCTTGCTAGCATGTAGAGAAATAAATAGAATGCAGCTCCAGCCCATACGGTATCAGTAATCATGCCGGATGTCCTTTGAAAATACTTGTACAAAGGAAAAATCCGAATAGCCCTTGGAACATATTGGGTGAAAATCACCAATTTTAACAAGCCCTCCGGTGTCAAAGAACCATCAGCCAGATTTGGAATGATATCATAAACTGCCAGCTGAGAGAAAGCAGGGCAGGAAGAAGGATTTACTAAAAATACTAACCAAGTCATCTCTACTATGCTTTATGTCCCCCACCCCCTCTCTTTTTTTTGGGCATGTCTTCAAGATCAATGATCCTAATGGACTATCACATTAATTACATTTGGTTCCATCAATAGCTTCCCATCAATTCCACACAACCAAAAATTTAATAAGTTACCAAATATTAATGGGGCAAACAAAAGGGGTAGAGTAAGTGTGTTTTAGAAAGTTACCTGTGGAAGGGGTAGTATGGCTAATAAATCTATTATAAAGTATGACGAGAGATATCTTTTAGCTATAGCAGCATGGTCCTTGATTAATGTAGTTCCCCCAAATGCTCGACAAGATGGAGAGACAAATCCAATATAGAACTGCAAGATGATATGAAGTAGATAGCACAAATCCATACATGTGCGAAAAATACTTGAAATGATTTTAAGACTATCATCCAACTTGATGCACTTTTTCTTTCCATCTATAACTGGGACGTAGAAGAATAGTGGATCACAGCCCAAAGCCAAAACACATGAGATTAGAATTATCTTATTCCATCTATGCACAAAATTATCCTTGGGATCCAGAATTTTCGCTGGTTGATGATAGAGCAACCCAAAGCACAAAGATCCTCTGGATGAACCAGATGACGCTCTATATTCTATCTCTGGTGACGACACTGGTTCCCTGAAAGGCAGTTTTTAACTCAGAATCATAGCAATGTGCAAGCATCTATGGACATTAAATACTAACAAATTAAGTACATTGCAGTCATGTAGTCATTCTTATCTAACCATTCATATAGCATCCTGTATCAAACTACCTATTTTGCTAGTCATTTGATGAATTTATTCATCATAGAAATATGAACACTCAGCTCGATACTTTGGGATTCACCTTCTGACTGTGTCTCTATTGTCAATCACAATTTCAGTAAGCTCCAAACTGCTCAACATTATGAAAAGCTTATCCTTGATAAAGATCACTATCTGTATGCCTTGAGCTAAAGACGGCACGAGTGGCAAGCTCCAGCCAACATATCCATCTACAAGTTCAGCAATTTAGTAAAACTAATAATCAGTAATTGTGGCAAAAGTATATTATGTTAGACACAATTGAGCACATAAACTCGAAATTTTTGAAACACTATAAATCTATAATCCCTAAATCCAAAATGGATGGTCACATTACTCATATAATTTATTTTATTTTTTTCCAGCTTTTTCTAAAATTTACAGTTACAGCACTTTAAAAAATGTCACATGTTAAAAGGAAAGAGGAATGTGTCCCCACTCATCTCTAACTAGTCTCCTAAGGCCTTAATTGTAGCACCAAAGATTGTGGAAAGTCCATAGAGTTCAAAGATTAGATATTAACAAACACAAGGGAGAGAAGCCTAGAAGCCAAAGCCCACGGCAAATCTTAAAACCAATTGGCAATAGGAGGAGTAGCCCGCTTGGGTTATAAATTGAAAGCTTTTTGCTTTCTTTTTCAATGTGGGACAAACTCTACTCACACTTGTACCTAACATTAAGAGAATGCAAACAAGTAATTCTTTTATAATTCAAAAGTTATAAACATTAAACTAAGGGTCTGTTTGATATTGTTGTGGTTTTTTTTTCTAAATCATATGATATATGTCCTATAATAAAATAAAAAATATAATGAAATAAAAAATTGGTCAATTTATTAAAATCATGATAGTTTTCAAAATATCAAAAAACTGAAAACAATAAAAAATAATATGCGTGTACGCTTTTTTTTTCAATAAGAAAAACACAGAAAGTAAAGTATATGTACCCACATGTGTATACTTTCCTCTGCGGCTCCGCCACAGAGCCACCCACCCACCTATCAAAAGTATCATATTAGGCAACAAAAAAAAAAAAAAAAAAAAAAAAAAACTTAATCCAAATGATAGACGTGAAAGGGGAAAGAATAACATTAATTTGTATTCAATCCATTAAAAAACATACTGCATAGCAACATTAAATGTTGCAAAACTAAGCTAAAAGTAAGGAACAAAATCTTATGATAATTAGATCATGCCTAACATTAAGTCATTAACCCACAAAACCCGCTACTCAAATAATTACTTGAAAAAACAATAATCTCATTTTGATCTTCATCATGCATGTATGGTTGTTTATGAATCTTACTTTTATGAGCAAAGCCCGAGTCAACAACAAATTTCAAATCCAAATCACAGCCAGCAGAAGATTAGTTAGATAAAAATTCACCCAACAAATTTACAATTACGGTCTAATGTGATGAATTAGGTCAATCTAGAGACAAAAATAAATTAAGCAAGTAAGATTTTTTTATTTGAGAGCGAGTAAGAATATAATAAAGAATTAAAGAGTGATATAAAATTATTTAGAGAAGAAGAATAGTTTACATTAATACTAATAATACTACTTTATTTTATTGCAAACGAAAACAAACAAAAACGAATATATAATTGCAGAATATATACTGTTGAGCAGCTCACAAGAGGTAGAATGACGCTTCACTGCAGAAATTGAGGAAGATTTGGCATCAAACTCGTCGTTTTGCAACTTGCAAGATCACTACTTAGTTTACTGTTTGCAGAAATTCTTAATAAAGGCAGTAATTGAAGTTAAATCTTTGAAAAACAAAATAAGGATGAACTTATAATAAAGGGTTGACTCAGCAAAGACTGCAATTAAATTATTAATGGTTTGAAATATAGAGTCCATTTCAAGCCGTATACGACTTTTTTTTTTTTTTTTTTTTTTTAGTGGATGAGTATTGATGATTTGATATTGTTGCAATAATAATTGATTACGGTCCAGCGTGTATCTGTCAATTAGTAGTGGGTAGAGGTTAACTGTCAAAGTAACGGTTAATAGTATGAGTGTTTGGAAAAAGTAGCGGTTACAATACAAAAATATATCAAAATTCATATATATATATTGTTTAAAAAGTAATAAAAAAATTGACAAACGCTACCCGCTACTTATAAACACTACTATTTTTAACGTTTGAGAAAAGCTATCTAAACACTACCACTATCGCTAACCGCTGCCTTACCAAAAACTCCCATATTTTTTCTAGTAGTGGTCAAAACACTAACCGCTACCACCAAACAGGGCCTAAAAACTCTAAAATTGTAAATCCTACCCTTTCTCTCTCCTCTCTCTAAAAACCCTAGCCTCCATTGTTGAATTTTAGAGGGTTTCATCGGTTTTTACCGTGAAAAGCTTCAATCTTTGGTTTTTGTGTGTCTTTTCTCTTTGTTTTTGTTTGTTCTAGATTTATAGTAACTCTTAAGAAAGGGCTTTTTTTTCTTCCTTAGAAGGATTTTTCTCCTTCGAAAGAAAAGGTTTTCTTCTCTCGTTTGAGGGAAGATTTTCTTTTTTGTTTGATGGATTGTCGTAGAGTTATTTCATGGGTAAAGATTTGTGCGGAATAAAAAAAAAAAAAAAAAAAGAGGTTAATTTTTAGATTACAACAAGACAAATCAGACGAAAGTTTTCTTCATGGCTACAACAGATCGATAAAACCTCTCGTCGAAGAAGGCTGTAAATCAAAGCGATGTGAAAGAGAGTATAAAGAATGTACGATTTGCAATAACGATCGTAGCATTGCTGGAAAGATGTTTTTATTTGATTCAATTGTCATGTAGTGATATTGTTGCAAATAATTGAGGAAATGGTATTAATAACGTCATTATGTTACTTTTATGTTTCAACAAAAGCTTTTGCAATTAAAAAAAAAAACCTTTTGCATTAACCCCGTTTACAATCTAATCTAATATCATATCATATCATACCACTAATAGATAAAGTTGGTCTCTCGCAGCCAAACCACGAGACAACGACACTTGACATTCCAGTTTTTCACCAAGTGTCGAGCCACGTAGGCGACAAATAGGTATTATTGTGACACATGTGATGCTAAGTAAGCGAATTTTGTATAGGTTTTTTTAGATAAAAATGTTGTATAGAGTTTTATTATCGATATACTTCTAACATTTCATATACACAAAATTAATCATAACTTTTAATAAATATCATCATAAAATTCGTTTTAAAAAGTACTTTAAAATAAGATCCATTCATAATATATTTAATTTATTTAAAAATAATAGAGAATTATATAAATAAGTTTTAATCCGTAAAAATAATTTCAATTCAATAAAAATAATTTAATTTTAATAAAAATAATAAGATATTATTTATAAACAAAACTACAAAAAGTACATTATTATATAAATATATATAAGCGATATGAAATCATAAGCTTAAATATCCAATATTATCAAAAGGGATTACATGATCGTTTTTAACATTCAAGATAAAAATTTATCCTAAAATTTATCAATCATCTGGGCATCACCTGGGCACAAAACTAGTCACTAATAAAGAAAGTCGATCTCGCAGCCAGACCACGAGATAGTGACACTTGACATTTCAGTTTTTCGCCAAGTGTCGAGCCACGTAGGCGACAAATAGATATTATTATGATTAGATTAGACGCCACATTAGACTAGATTGGATAGATTTGTTTAGGATAAAAAAGTATACATAAAATAATTTATAATTGTTTTGAAAAAAAATTATCTTTAATTTTTATTGACAATAGAATTTTACTTATAGCGACACACCACATATTATAATTAATATGAATATCCAATTAACAATAGAATTTTACTCCTATACAAATAACCACGTAATTATTATTATAAATATGACCATGTATCAGTAATTTTTTTTAGTCTACCATTGATTTACCATCAAAACTTTTGAATAAGGTATTTTCATATTCGGTTGTAATATTTTTGTGTATGTTTGTGATTTATTATGTGGTTTGTGATAATAAGATATTTATTATAATACGTAACATAAATATACAGATCGAGTATCATATCATTAATTAATAAAGCCGGTCTCGCAGCCAGGCCACGAGACAGCGATACTTTGATATTATTTCAAACACTTATATTATATACACATTGTATTATTTCAAACACTTAGATTATATCACTTATATCCACAGGTAAGAATTATATAAATTTAATATTATGAAAGTATAAATCAAGTCAAATATAAGAAAATCCTCGTGAATTCTTCAATCATTAATCATCAAAAGTAGACAAAAATATCATATGTAGTGCTAATGTAAAAAAATGTGGCAATTAAAATAATCAAAGGAAGTACTATTGTTTGGTACTATATGTCATTTGCTAATTCTCATAGGTTATGCTTCTTCCGTTCTAGTGATATTGCAATAAAGATAAAATTACGCACCTCAAAGCAAATTTTGTACTTACTTATGTTAAATATCTATAATTAGTTAATTAATTATATAAGATTAAAAATTATAAAAAAGTTGATATTATGAAAGTATATTACGGGACAAATTTGTAACACTCCTTAAAGCATTCTTATAATCTTATTGGAGAAACATTTATATAACCTTAACCTGCTGCCTGCAGGTATATTAGTTGAGTATATGCAATCCTTGTAAATTGGCTATCAAAATTTCATTATTAACCAAAATAAAGATAACAACAAAGATAAAAGAGTAAGAAAAGCATACCAAAGCCTAGAATTAGCTCAAAAATCTTCTTGGGATAACTGTATAAGTAAGGGCATTACGTATGATCAGCTCTAGCTAAAAAAGCCTACCCATTTTTGTTATTTATTTAGAGTGTCGATGTGGAGCGCCCGCTCTACTGATTAATCGCGCTCGCGCTAGCTAGGCGCGACCCGCGATGAAACCGCGCCTAAACCGCGATGAGTTTCTGGAAAATCTGACGGATTTCGGTGGCGCGCCCGCTCCTCTGAGTGGTGCGCTCGCGTCCCCGTATGGCGCGACAAAATCGCGTCAACTTTCTAGAAATCTGAAGTTTTTGGGCAAAGAAGAGTGGCGCGCCCGCGCCTTATGGTGGCGCGCCCGCACTTCTTGCCTGTTTTGCGGTTATAGCGTCGGTTGAGTCTATTTTATATAGAACTCTGGTTTTTCGAAAAGAGATACAGAATATTATTCTCAAAACTCTCCCTAAGTACTCTCCATAATTTCTCTCAATTTTCTTGCAAACTATTGTGAGATATTCTCTTGATTTTTAGCCTTTTTTGTGATTCATTCGTCTTGGTTTCGATTCTTTGTGCTAAGAACGGAATTTTTGTCAATTGTATCTCAAAGAGGATTTCCGGTAAACCCAAGCACTGTGTGGGTGAAATAAACCTCTTTAGGAAAGTGTTTCACACGCCTTTGACAGAGTATCAGGGTCGTAGTCTCAAGGGACATAGCAATTCTCATGTTCATGTGTGTTTTGATCGGCTTAGAGTTAAGGCAAGTTTGTTAGTCTTCACATTAGTGTTTTCTTTAGAAATTTCTGTAATTTCTTAGACATTTTAATACTTGATTGTAACATCTTTTTTGTGTTTATTTTAATTACATTACTTTGTTATTGTAATCACATTATCTAGGTTTTGTCCCACACATATTTAAGTATTTTGCTTGATTGCATTTACTGTAAAACCTAACAATTTTATCCCGGGTTCGATTAATTCAGCCCAAACTCCAACAGTCCAACATGCCATTTATTTGTTAGTTACTACAACAGCATTTTGATATCTTAGATCATCAACTATCTATACAGGGGATATTGAAGAGTGGCAATCAGATGGGTACATGAAGATCATTGATCGCAAGAAAAACATCTTCAAGCTCCCGCTAGGAGAAATATGTTTATGTTGAAAACTTGGAGAATACATATAGTCTTACCTCAGAAATCGATTCTGTATGTTAGGAAATAAGGGTGTAATTGTGTTTGATTAATGCGGAACAAGTCAATGAAAAATAAAAACAAGAAAAACAATAGAGAAGATAAACAAAGAACACAAGGATTTACGTGGTTGGGTCAAATTAGACCTACATCCACGGGTGATGGATTCGAGAGCTTCTTCACTATATATAATGGAAAAAGAACGAGAGAATAATACAAGGAGTCCTAAATCTAATAGCTCAAAAAGGTACGTTCGAATTGATCAACTAAAAGGGTCCTTTTATAACATAAGAAAACCCTAATTAAACCCTAAAATTGTTCCCCAAGTATACTCAAATAGCCGTCATAGAAAAGATATAATTTTAGGAAAATTATCCCTAAAATAATTAAGCTAAAACCAGACAAAAAAAAACTGAAATTTCGACTAGGCATGGGCGTGTCTCTTTTAGGATAATGGTCCATAATTAAATGTTCATATTAGATGACAAGCATTTCAAAAATTTTGATGCACAGTACTCCGTACACTTAATTTGACTAACTCATACGGAGTACTTGGTTTTGTAATAATCTTAACTGTAGGGAAGGCACAAAGTTTTTGGATAATTATAGGGTGGTAACCAAAAGGAGAATATTATAAACGACACGTTTAACTTTTTTTCACTATTTTATACTATCTTTGACCATCGTTTTTTTTAGTAAGGTACTCATATTACCGTATCATGAAATGTATTGTTAAATGAAAAATAAGTATTAATATAAAGTTTCATAATATCAATTTTTTATATTTTTTACTAATATCTAATCAAATAAACTTATATTTAAGGTCAAACTAGTGCATTAGCATGTGTGTCAGTTGTCAAGTTTGACTAGAAGAGATGGGGTATCAAAAAATTACAAATTAATTATATACACATTGTTACGAATCTAACAAGACTCCACTTGATATACAATTATTTTTTTTCTTTATAAATTACCATACATATAAGTTAAAATTTTGTTAAATTAGACAACCAATCAGAAGAAAAAAAAAACTATCATCCTTTATTAAAAATTAAAAGCTACCTATTCTTTTTTTTTTTTTTTTTTTTTTTTTTTTAAGGGAAGTCCTATCCTATTATAAGCCTCCACAAGTTTATAAAAAGGTAGATAATATTTTAAGAAGAAAAAGGAGAATCGAGCCATATAGATTTCTTGTATGCACACGTAATGTGTGTGTGTCTCCTAGTTAATAAATTTATAAGTCATGCATTTTTTAAAAAAGACACCCATTTCAGAGCGTCTTGTGTGCAGTTGGCCATACCATGTGACCTTTTGTAAAATAAAAAAAAAGTCGAATAACACTTTAACACGTAGTACACTATAAATCCAGGAGCATGGTATCCTATAATTTTAATTTGTGGTGAAACTCAATTTTTAGAAATTTTTTTAGTGGTAAAATAAAACTTTAAAAAGAATAGATGGTAAAACTAAAAACTAAAGGAATAAGTTTTATTTTATTTTATGTTTGAAACACTATGTAAAAATTATTAAAATTGATATACGACAAACTAAAAGGGGGGGGGGGGGATGGCTCTTAGCTAAGGTAAATATGGAATCATGGTCAAAATTGTACCTCCCATCTCCAAGACCAAATTGCTACGAGACCACATAGAGGGTATAACCTTGTTGGATCACATTCAATTTGTTGCCCCTCGAATTTGCCCCATATGTTTGACCTCTAACAAGTAACAACGGTCTACAAGTACAATAAAACTAGCTGATTATACTTAAGATTGACCAATGCATGGTTTCTACAGGCGCATGTACGATGCGCATCGTACAATATATATAGCTATAGTAAAAAAAACGTACTATTAAAATGTAATGAACATATAATTAGAGTGAAAAGAACATATTTGCACCAAAAAAGAGTATATGTACTTTTATTTGTGACATAATGTTCATTGCTTATTATGAAATATTATTTGAATTTTGTCTTTAGATTATTCATTACATAATATTATCATGTTCTTTATTAATATTACAGATGTTCAGTAGATGTACAAAATAAACATAAAACTGGACGTTCTTCACAAAATAATTATATGTTTTTTTTTTTGTCTGTATCAAGCTAGGTACAGACACCTATACCATAAAAATTTCAATGATCGGCCTAATAGTAACAGTCAATTCACAATTCCTAACGTTTTTTCATATGCATGTGCAATTATACATATGTGCAATCAAATCCACACCTATAGGGCTATAGGTGACTCCATGTCATAGTCCCATGTCATTTAATATGAAGCATGAGCTTATCTGAGTTATCTCTCGACTCTCAAGGTACAATAAAAATGGGGTCTTTTGACATTGGGCTTACAGCCTTACAGGACGTAGTTGATTAACAATTTGTACAAAGCATGTAATGACAATGTCTTCTGAAACTTCACATCTTTTATAAATACTGTACACTTTTGTTACAGATTTCACTACAATAATTTAACTCCATAAATGACAGTGTAAAGTGTAAACATCAAAGTTAAAGGTCGAAGCAGCAATAACTTTGAAGGCAGGGGAGCTCCAGAGCTGAGAGGCTAATCATATACAGAAATGAAATCAGGCTCATTTGGCTTTTGCAGGTTGAGCAGCGGCGGCTAGTTGATGGTGTGACAGATTCAAATGAGGTCATTGACAATGCATGTATAGAGTTACTGATGGGGAATTTAATCATGCAGATCATACGAGTTTTTTACAATTTAACTATAGTGCTTCGTAGTAAATTCACTTCAAAAAAATCTTATAATCAATCGTAATCACACAAATACTGAAAGATGGATTGACCCCTTGGCATTTGGTATGAGACATGATCTCGTGACACTTTGGACTAAAACTAACAATAATTACACAAATACTGAAATGAAAAATGACAATTAAGCATCACTTATGCTGCAAACTGGACATTATCTAATCCTAACAATTTACGTGCAAATTATACATGTTGAATATGTTGATGGAGATTATCTTAAACATCAAGGTTAAGAGTAGGAAGAAACCAAGAACTTGAAAGGGAAGGGCTATGAAAGGCTAAGTGGCTAACCATCGTCAGATCGACGTGAAATCAGGTTCAGTAGGCTTTTGCAAGTTGAGGAGGGGTGATCTTGGTGGAATTCTGTTGTTTCGGGGAGCATTATGTCGCAGGTTACGAAGTGCATTGGCAGCAAACCTTGATGCATAAATTGTGACACTGAAGCTTGGTGAGCTTCCACCCTCCTTGGCAAGAGCGTATTCTTCAGCCTCTTGTAAAGATTTCTCAAGCTTCCTTCTGTAGCATCGCCGCCATGCTGCCTGTATGAAACAGGCTGCCCATGTCTTCCACTGTAGTGAATAAAACCTGATTGCATCACAATAGACACAATTCACAAGTGATTACATAAGTTTTTGGCTCAAACATTAAAAATGATAATCATCTCAGAAGTTAGGATTGAAGTTCAGCTTTAAATAGAATATTTTCTGGTCATGCATTTATCTTAAAATATTTTTCTAAAACCTCAGCCTTCAGCAATATTTGTCTGACAACCTGGGAGAGAGAGACTTGCCTGAAGGTGTGTCGTAGCTGCTTACTATGAAGCCTACGAAATTGCGAAGCCACAAACTTCAGATCATCAGGCATCAGTGCAAAGGCTTCAACTTCTGTCTCAGTTTGTACAGTCCTAGTTGAAATGGGAAGATTGGAAGAGGACTGCGGATCTAAGGCCCATGTGAGCAACTCTTCTCCACAGAAATCACCGGCTTTGAGGGAAACAGAATTAAAGAAACCAGTTCTCCCACCATTTGTGGTCATTGTCAATAGGCTTCCTCTCATTATAAAGAGCATCTCATTAACCGGATCACCCTCGCGTACAATGAAGCTGTTTTCAGTATAAAGCATTGGTTTGAGACGATCACACATTGCATCTTTTAGTTGCTCGTCCAATTTTGCAAACATTGGCACCTACAAGGATAATTTTTCCCATGTTTCTTGATGATGACTCACTATATAAGTTCAAGACAGAAATTTCAAAATCAAATTAAGCACAGATGCACTCACTCTCATCAAAGAAGCCAAGCAGAGATGCCTCTTTATGTCCCTCCTGAGGTCCCTAGGAAGGTTTCGAATTACACTCTCTTCATCAACTCCTCGTGTTTCTTGCCAATTGTATTGCTCGTACTTTCTAACTCGCTCTCTCATGTCTTCTGGAAGCATACGATGGGACATCCACTGCTCTGCATCTCGCTTTCTTATTCTCATCTCCTCTACTCTGACAGTTGTTGATTGTAGATATTTCTGTCCAAAACATAGCCAGCAGAAATTTAGATATCTAAATTAAAAACAACTGCAAGCAGAACATTTAATTTGACGAGCATACATCTTATAAGAGATATGATAAGAATTCATTTTAGTCAATGATATGTTTGTGTTTGATCAAATCTAAGAAGGAAACCGAAAGCTATAGGAAGTCTGAAATGAAGATAATCAAACAAATGTTTCATCGTCCGAAGTTCCTAACATCGTATATTGTTTGCAGGACAGACTAGGACCGCTGATTTCCTTCAATCAATAATGTTGGAAAAATAAAGCCTCAAATATGATTATATGAAGAAGAGGCATTGCCAATTGGACTATCTTAATGCTGTGACATACTTCAAATACTTTGTGAAGCAAACTGTTTATATCTATTATAGAGTAGTCGAAATATTCATGATAATTGATGACTTGCCTGCATATTCCCAATAAGAAATGAAAACAGAACCAGTCCAGCAATACAAATGAAGATTGCAAGTAAGTTCTCCCCAATGAAAGTACTTGTACTGAGATTCTGACCAAGAGAGCTGCAATAAAAGTATATAGTAAAGTAAGTCAAATATTTAGCCTTTGCATTTCAAACATCCTAGATTGTACTGTTAAGTCTCTAAGTCACTGTCTTCAATAACATGATTTCTCCTTGAGGGTTTTTCTTTTCGACAGAACTTAAGGTGCAAAAAATGAACTCTAGAAATAGTAGAAAACAGTCGAGAGGGGAAAAAAGGTTTTTCATCTGTAACAGCTAGTCACCCTCAGGATTTTTGTGTATATTGCTAGATATTATGACAACAAAGTGACAGGGTTACAGCCATTATTCAATAAAACTCTACGAATCAGTTTAGCTCTTCATCTTATGCCAGAATCTTAAGGAGCAGCCTGTGTTCTTCCAGTTAGACTCTCTAAGCTAAGCTATATGGTCTATGCAATAACAGAAAGCACATACACAACTGCCTTTATTCTGGTATCATATCTAAACTGTACAAGAGTGGTATGGGAACCGTCATCTACTTGACAGACTTGGAGAGGTCTAAACAGTTAATTGAAAAGTGAGGATATATGTGCTTCAAAATAATATTACTGAATCATTCAAGCGCTTACCTAAGATTTCGAAGGCCCCACCAAAAGCAGTAGAAAAATTTCCTTAAAAATGGTTTGGATTGTACCACTTCTGATTGAAGAGCATCGTAGTACATGCCAAAGTTAAACACACTACCATCCGATATATCATTAGGATTTACAGGCTTGCAGTAAGTACTGTTAAATTCAAAGTTTTTTGCTCCGACAATTGTGTCTTGCATTTTGCAATATAAAGACAAATTATGACATCTTTCTCCTAAGCATGACTTGTGCCAGCATTTGCTTTGTCGATCTATGGCAAACAAATACCAAACTGCTCCAGTAACCTGTGGTTATACACAAGATCTATTAATTGATAATTTCTAATCAAAACTTATGAGCTAAACAATGTATTAGGAAATGTTGCTTTGAACATGGTTGCAAACTGCAAAAGTGTGAACTCTGTCTGTTGCAGCCTGAAATAATTCTATAAAAGTAAAGACTAATCTAGAAATTTAGAGTTTCCAAATTGCTCTTTAAGATTTTGAGTTGCTTCTCGTGCATTCAGAAACCATATTTTAAAAAGTGAACAAACCGGGGAAATGCAATTTTTTTTTTTTTTTAAAAATGCTCCAAATATTCATCTTTACTGCACCATCTCCAAAATCATTCTCATTATCTATAATCTAATGCATACTAATTTGTTTAACAAAGATATCTGCAGAAAAGGGATCTTATTTATAGAATGACCTGAATGAGTCAGTCTAACAGACATCAAGGATCCATTTGAACTTACATGGCTGGCTAGCATGTAGAGGAACAGATTGAAAGCAGCTCCAACCCATGCTGTTTCAGTGATTATACCAGATGTGTGAGTTACTTCCTTATATAAAGGATATATCCGTATGAACCGTGGTACATATTGGGCAAAAATCACTAATTTTAACACGCCCTTGGAAGTTAAAGGACCACCACTCATCATCAACTTTGGAATGATAACTAAAACCGCCATCTGGAAAAACACAACAGGATTATTTAATCATCTCTTTGATCAATAGTAATGGCCTATAATAGCACATCAGCAATGATTTATTTAACTTCTTAAGTATCCGGAATCTAAGCATGATAATAAACATCTCCCAATATTTTTCCGATTATGCCACTGTTATGTAATCACTAGCATCATACAAGATAGATCATCTCATAAGATTCATTGATGTCTGCATTCTTCTTTTATATTGCAATTTAAAATATAGGATCTTGATAATATAAAAAATGGAACATTAGACTATTAGAGAACTACCAAGTACCTGGGGGAAGGGAAGCACAGCTAGAATGTCCACAAAGAAGTATGAATAGAGGTATCTTCTAGCTATAGAAGCATAATCCTTGATCAATACACCTCTTCCAAGCACTCGAGAAGAAGGAGAGACATACCCAGTACGGAACTGTAAGATGATATGAAGTAGATAGAACAAGTCTGTGGAGGTGCGAAGAAAACAGGCTATGATTTCTAAATCAGCATCCAAATTGAGGCAATTTTTCTTGCCATCAATAACTGGGATGTAAAAAAACAATGGATCCCAGGCCATTGCAAAAAAACATGAGATCAGAAATATCTTGTTCCATTTCTGCAGAAATGGCCCCTGTGGATCAAGAATAGTGTCCTGAAGTTCAGGCTTCTTCGCAGATTGGTAATAGATACCCTGAAAGCTCAGATTTCCTGTCAAGGTTCTTATCCCATGAGAGCTTCTCTCAAATCCTCGTCTGATAACATCAAAGGCTGAGCCAAAGCCTGCTCCATTCTCTAGAGATGGTGATGGTGTTTGACTCGGATAAAATGGTTGCTCAGAACTTGTTGATCCTTCTGAGTTATGGTCTTCAAACCTGAGAAAGTGCATGATGCAGAAGGAAATTTAGAACAGCAGCCACATGCAGGCATATAACGTACAAAAATCTAAAGATATTAAGCAAATTCCAACTATGTAGTCAACTTTAGCTACTATCTGCAACAAACCTGATGTTAAACACCAATATAATTGACAATAGTTCTATTTTTCTGGTGACTTGAGGTAACTATTCAAAATAAATGCGGAACTACAACAACAACAACAAAATAAAACAACACTTGATACTATGAGACTCACCTTACAACCCTGTCTCGGTTGTTACTCATAAGTTCAGAAAGCTGCAAATTTCCTGACATGTGAAATGCTTATCCAGGATCAAATGCACTATTTGTACCTTATCCAAAACCAAAGATGGCACCCTTGAGTTAGCCCCTGCCAATAAATTCATCTCCAAGTTTAGGTTAATATTTCAATGATTAAACAATAGTAACGATTTTAAAAACGACCTTGTACAATATTTTATCCCTTTTTTCAGCATCTGAGAGTCAATAGGCCACCAATATGACATCTTGAATCCTGTAATATTTGGGATTTAGCCTCTAAATATTTTGTTACTGTTATGTGATACTTTACAAGTCCTAAGCCATAGAAAAGGGGAAATAATATCTTTCATTCAGCTACCCTTTATAGAGTTTGCTAAAGATTTCCCTTTAACTGAGCAAGTATACTACAAATTCCGGTGCAAATAGAAAAAGTTAGTCTACGAAACATCTAAAACATTGACTTGTGTATATACTCCATATAAGAAATTATATGTTCAATTACTCTAATGATTACAGAAAAACACATGTTATTGTCTTGAATTCACAACTTAATACCATTTGGAAAACGTAAGGCTTATCAATAATCTTACAGTAATATTAATGAAAGCTTAAGATCCTCGGCTGTTGTGAGCAGGATAGTTCCAGATAGTTTATCATTACTTGCAAGAGTCACCATTTTCAAAGAGGATAAAAACACAGCAACTTTAACTAAAAAATCTACGTCAAACAAACTTGAAATCGAAGAATAGTCAAAGGATTATCAACTTTATGACCCTTTTGGCCTGTTTCCCACGCTGAAAAAAAAAAAGGAAACAAAAAAGTAGATCAAACTTAGAAGTTAGAATCATTGAACCAGAAGTCTGTACATAATTTCTCCATTATTTTTAATTCGATACTTGACCATTACTAGCTTTCCGAAAGAAGGAAAAAAAAAAACCTCAATTTGACCATTAACTATTAGTAAATTAAAAGTAAAATTAAATTATAAAAAAAATGATGAATTGAATTTTATATTAATGCTCCTACTTCTGTTACACTACCCAATCCCCTTCTAAGAGAGAAAATTAATGGGACCTAAAGTAATTTTTGTTAGTGTAAAGTTGTAATACCCCATAATCATTCATGATATAAAGCGAGGCAATCTCTTAGGGACAACTTAAATAGGATAATTGAGCAAGTTTAAGAAGATGGAGAGAGTAGTAAGACAGCATAAAAGCCTTTAAAGGCAGTAATGTAGACGGATTTGATCAAATTCTAATACTCCATAACTAATCTAGTTGGTATCCACACTAAATAAATTACTATGTGTTCATTTCGCCTACTGCGAAATGATCATATAGAAAAGGTATAACTATTATACTTGTACAACAGAACATAATTGCAGTAAGAAAAAATGATATTTAGAAAAAAAAATTGCAGCAAAATCAGAGTCCATTGATCATGAAGAAAACAAAGGAGAGTTTAATCAAACCTTGATATTATAAGGGCCTGTTTGATGAATTTCCAAGCATAAGAAGAATTTCAACACCAGACACTCTGAATTTAGCACAAAAAATTGAAATGAAAGCAAATGAGCCAAACACTGAACAAACTTTTTCTTAAAATTTTTGCATGAAAGAAACAAAGAACAATTAGTGAAAGGCGTAAAAACAATAGAAGTTTATTTATGGAGTAGTCTTTAGGAAATTGGAAGGAAATTTCGTTGATTTCATTTGGAAATGTAAAAAAAAAAGACAAACTACAACTAGTACAATAATGTACAATTACATATACTTGTACTCTCGATGAGCGAGAATACAGAGTGAGTCGTCAGTGACAAATAAGCATTGACTTATGACTATGAAAACAAGTCAAGCATATATTTCTTTTTTATTTTGAGTGGTTTGTTGAAAAGTCAACCTTTTTTTGCAAGAGACCAAGTCAGCTATGTTGAGTAGCGCCAAATTTCTACCAACCAAACAAGATATTTTTTAATACCAAGTACGTACAAGTATGTAATTATTATGACAATTACAATATAACAGAACACAATAATACAAGTTAGATATTGCATTACAATTTGATTCATGATTAGATAATTTTCGTATTTGTATTTTTATGTTAAAAAAAAAAATTGAAGGAGAAGAACAACTCTACTAGACTGGAATCTCTAATAGGGAATGTGCGAAAGTCAATTCAACTACATAAGTCGAGCTCTTCAAGGGAATCATCAACCTCAAAATCCAGTGGATAGGAATCGAATCCATAACCTCAAGTCATAAGATGAAACCCTTAATAACTTGAAATAGTGAACAAGGAGTATAATATTCCAAAAGATAGGAAAGTATTATAGTCTTCATCTTGCTAAAGACGGGATTGGGAAAACAATCGGGAAAGGGTACCTGTTTCTAAGGTTCTCATCAAGACTGAATTTAAACCAGTATACAAAGCCTGAACACAAAAGAAGAGAATGGATCAAGACTTTGGTATTTAACACAACATCTAAAAGATGAGTTTTCAAAGTAAAGTCATTAAATTGGCATACAGTGATACAACAGAGAACAAATGAAAAATCATCATTAAGTTCTTGTTAACATCTGACAACAGGCAATGGGATCCTACATCCTACAGGAAGCAATCTGATCATCTCCAAAATGCCTCAGATGGAAATGCGTGCCGTTCTTTTCCATTTTTGGATTATTATTCCTGGTCCAAACCCCTAACAAAGGCACAGCTCTCTAAAAGTGAAGGGACGGATCAGAACTTAACTCAAGGCTTCTCCTCGTCGGATTGAGGACCTGGTCCAGGGACTGAATCTACAAAGAACTCCTCCACTGAATCATAAAAAAAGTTATTTCTGAGTAAATAATTGTTTCCCTCTCGATATAAGCATTAACATTATTTAAAATATATATATATATATATATATATATATATATATATATATATATATATATATATATATATATATATATATATATATATATATTAAAAGAAGGAAGAATGGGGGGTGGGGGACTCCATACCTATATCTTCATTTTCTGGTGAATCAAGTAAGATATCAGAATCCGAAGGCAGAAAAGGCGAGCCAGGATAATTTCCCAATGGTCCAAGATCTACAGAATTTCAAGGAGAATGTAAGCAACAAGCGTACCGGGAAAGGAAGCATGTTAACATATATTTGGAAGTTAAATGAAGCAATTGGCCACTGAAAAGTGTACACAGTTTACAACAACCAAGTTTCTTTTCAAATGGATAACAATGTATCAAAGTATATTCGCAATAACCATAAAAACTCACTGAAGTATTATGTAAAATAAAAAAAATAAGAGGGCAGATAATAACCTCCCAAGTTCGATAAATCTGCTGTTAGATCAGAAAGACTGAAATTCCAGGGAATTTGAGCCAAAGAACGAAGGGAATCTTTAGAATTTCCAGCACCTCCATCAGATGGAAGCTGCAATCCAATTGAACTTCCCACGTCAGACTGAAATGCTGTATCCAGTGCTGAAGTATCAACTCCCATTCCAGGCAACTCAGAAGCAGTGAATGGAAAATGACCACTGGATGCCACTGAAGTTGGACTGATGGGCATGTCCGACACGGACGACATGCCACTACTGGGCGGAATCACTGGTGCAGCTTCAGCTGAGGCACTTTCCATCACCATACTAGGGGGTAAATAACAATTGGTAAGCAAAACCTCACACCAATTATAATAAAGAAAAAAGAAGGTACAAAAATGAACTCTTCATACTCCCCCAGCACTGGCCAGTGGCCACTAAGAAGAAAATTAAAAAACAGCAACAAAAGAATTAAATATATACTTCCTCCGTTCTTTATTACTTGACCTGTATTCCTTTTTGGGAAATTTCTTTTTACTTGACCTGTTTCCTTTTTTGGCAAATTTAACACTACACTTTTACTTATTTACCCTCACATTTTGAACATAATTAAAACCATATACCCTTTGTTACCATACCCCCTTCTCTCTCACCTCAATCAACCCCCTTAATTCTTCATAGTTCACCAGACCACCATATCCTGTTATCCATGGCAGCCACCCATCTCCACCACCCCAACAATATTTTTGAAACACCACCGCAAAACATCAATCATCACCCTTATCTACCTCTTCACCGTCGATGGTCTCCAAACTCCTCCCCTCACACCCTCTCTCGTCACCTCCACGGCTCTACCGTGCGCCGTGACCACCTTAATTTGTAAAAAAGCTTGAAGTTCACCAAAATCGAGGCCATGGTGGTCGAATTTGGCTAGCAATTGTAGATCTGAAACCGCCATAGCCAAATTCGACCACCAATAAGCTCTCAATTTCTGAAGATTCTGCTCAGGGACAGTGGTTGGTGAAGTGTGGTTATTTTCTCTCTCCTCTCATTCCTATATTTTTGTGGTGGTATGTATGACAGTACATATGCGATTTTTGTCAAGTTTGAAGAGGGTTTGATGGTTGTGGTGGTGGCGTAGGGGCATGTGGTGGTGGAGTGAGAGGTTACGTTGGCTGTGGTGGTGGCGTGTGGGGCTGTGGTGGTAGCGTGAGGGTTGCGGTGGTGGCGTGAGGGGATGTGGTGGTGGAGTGTGGGTTGTGGTGGTGAGACTGAAAAAGTGAAAAGTCAGTGGAGGGGAATAGTTACTGTGCAGGGGTAGTTTGGTCTTTTAGCTTTCTGGTCTACTCTTTCTTAATTTGAGTGCCTATTTGCAATGAGTCATGTAATAAAAAACAGAGGTAGTATTAATTAATCTAGTTCTATAAATTCTTGATGCAAGATAGTGTAGCTTTCTAGTTTACTTTCAAGATTGAATTTAAAACTTGCTACACCCAAAATTCGTACTCAGCTAGAAATTGACATTTTTAACTATAAAACAAAGCTTTTCACTAGGTTTTGGGCAAAATTTAACAGTCTAGCAAAGTTGAACATAGTAATGAGACTAATGAGAATTAAAGCTAGTGTACTGAAATTGTGGTAAGATACCAAAACACGTAGTAGTAATTATTGAAGAGACACTCACTCATTTCCAGAATTCATTCTCATGGGTTGAAAATTACTAGGTGCAGGGACTCCATTGACCACATGGCAGTTGGATAGTCCATGGTTCATGGAATCAAGATGAGGCTGACCAGGAGCTGGAATTGGAGGTGGTTGTAGGACAGGGTATCCCATAGGCATGCTGTTAACTGCAGTGCAGATAATTGAAGTTAATAATCCAAAATATGACAGATTAAAAAAAAATATAGAAAAACTAATAATACCCCCCTTCCTTGAATATTTGTCCAAATATTCTTTTTTAGGATGTACCATAACAATCAACCTTCTATACTCGTAAAATTGAGCACATGTAATTTTTCTGATGAGAAACTGTGATTGGTTGATAGGCAAATGAATATTGGGAAGCAATACAGTAATTGATGTTCCCTTTATATTATTGCTTCTCAAGTATGACAAGTGATTTATTCCATTGCTGAAAAAAGCACAAAGAAAATTTCCATACAAAAACTATCCTGAAGCTTCACCCACACTGAGACTACCACCACATTAAAAGGAAGAGCCTCATTTCAGTACTTATCTACGTTTTTTATAGCCTAAGGAGAAATAACTTCTGTACCAATCTAGTCTGGATATGATTATGGGTGCATTCATCAGGAATTCTGCATTTCTGCTACTAAGTTATTGATGTCAAAAGGAAGAAACCAAATATCTCCTAACCCTATTCAGAAAACTTCTCCAACATTAAATATCAAGAGGACCCAGGAAGTCAAGATATGAAGCTCTTTAAAAGCAATAAATCAGAGAGACAGAGACACAAACTTAATACCACATTAGATTTAACTATTTAAGTCCTACACTACGAGTGTATAAGAAAGAGGGGAGAAACAGGTCTCACTTCTATGAGTAGGTATTGGCATCATTTAGTAGAAATTTGTATCTTGTTCCAAAAAGAAAATATCCTGACAGCATTCATAGGGACAGCCACACAGCAATTACAATTTATTTATTTATTTTTTTTTAAAAAAAAAAAAAAACAAAGCAATCAGATATTCAGATTGCACAAAACTTTTGGAGGTACAGAATATTACCAGGCATAGGATGGATTCCATTTTGGATAGGAGCCAATGGAACTTTTGGAGGTACAGCATATTTCATCAGATGATATTGATGTTCGAGAAGATGATTGAACAAAACAATCTGCTTCTTCAATTTAAGCCTTATATAATAAGCCCTAAAAAAATCAGCATTTTCTTCCTCCAGCTTCTGCCATACTACTCAAATGAGATGGTACAAAAAAATTGATCAGAACTACAAAATAAAAAAGGCCTGTTTTTCATAGCCAATCCAAAAAAAATCTGACAGAAACAAAATCGTAGCTACCATGATGAAATTCACACTAAGCTATAGGAGGGGGAAGAGATAGGCAGATAGCTAACAACTTGTGCTTTTTTTTTTTTTTTTTTTTTTCCTCTGTAAAAATTAGGGAGCTTAACATAAGGCTGTTGGTCTCAAACAGCATTACCAGCACATATTTTTCTTGACAGAAAAAGTATCAAAAACCATCATGTAAATGAATCTTCAAATATAACATCCAGAAGAAAAATTACAAACGTCATATCTAACACCAATTTTTCGTGCCCATGAGCCAAGCCCAATTGGTCAGGTAATTAGCAATCACATTTTACTATGGACGAATTTCTTTTCACGATGCATATTTAGTACATCCAAATTTTGCAATATCTTGCAGATCCTACCTAAAGTAGTAAATCCAGGATCAATCCTTGCACGATTTAAGAGGGTCTTAACCACCTCATCTCTATTCATATACAGTTGTAAGCATCGTTCAATTAGATTTTGTACCTGCACCAAATCATATGCTTACATATGCCAGTTGAGCAAGGTATGTCTTTCAAAAGTAAAGGAAACTAGAGGTTAATAAAACCAGATTGCCTCACAAGCTCAATATCTTCTCGAGAAACTTTGCGCCCATCGTTGCTTGAAACAGCAGCTGAGCCTGAGTCAGGGGCTGGAGCTACTGGATTGTTGTTATTCTGTTGCTCACTTTGGAAATCAAGTGAAGCTTGGTTGGTCGACAGTCTTTCGGGAGTATTTTGAGAATCCTGCATAGATTCGTAATCCAAATTAAAAGAAGTACATGAAAGGGACATATAATTACTAATGCTAACAGTCAAAGTCTACACGAAAAAGAAAAAAAAAAAGGGAAGCCAAATGTCCAAACAGTGCATGCCATATAAGCACAAACTTAAGCATGATCCCTGAACATTTTCCACACAGACATAAAAAATAAAGGAGTCGCGTCATTATGTGGATTGAGCCTAAAAAGCTTCAACCAATTACGGTTGAGAACTAGAGATAAGACCATACAATCTAGATATTAACTATCAGTAATATTATTGAATAATAACAAAGGGAAGACGTATATTAACAGGCATTCAATTGGCAGAAGAAAAATTAACAAGAATGTCTTTGACCCTTCCAGCATTAGACAAACGAAAACAGAACAATAATAATATCATTGTCCACCCATTTCTACTTCCTCCAAACACCTAACAAGGAACATTAGGAAAAAATATCCTCTGATACTGCACATTAAGGCTATTTGAAGTTCTTTAAGGATAATTAAACAAAACATAGTACTCAAAGCTATCTACATATGTGTACCCAGTTAAGTGCACAACAAAGACACAAGGTAGCAAGAAGCAAAGCCACAAAGGTATAAAAACTTTGGTAATGGTGGGTTTTGATGCTACACATAAACCATTAATGATATTGTGTATCCAAACAAACAACATAAGGTCCAGAATAGTCCAGCTCATATATGTCAATTCATAGATAAGGAGGAGAGAAAAATAGGTAGTCAAGCACATTACTTGAAGACCAGTGAAGAGCACATAAATCATGTTTTTTGGCACACTACTGCTACCTTATGGTGCCAGGCGTAGCACCACAATCAATTTTTACTAATCAAAAACCCATTTAACCATTTTCCAACACCATTCTAAGGGGAATATCATACAGAACAAGCAGTAAGGTAAGGTAAACGCACCGGTGAGGTCTTCATTTCACTAAAATCGATACAGCCACATACTGCTATGCTAATTGGACAAAGCAAGCACTCTTAATATCCAATTAAAGCAATATCAGAAACATGGCAGCTGGTACAGAAAAAACAAAATGGTGATGAGTTTTGAGTTAAACTCGTTAGTTACACAGGTGCATGGATAAGAGAATTACTTGTACTATTTGGAAAATACTAAAGAAAAATTACAATTAAACATGCATGCATATATATATGTATATGTAACAAGTGGAAAATTAGAGATACTGGTATAATATCAACATATCCCTTGTATCGGTGTTATTTCATTAAAGATACTTCGATATCACAGACCATGTAGCAACATAAAAAATCTCCGATTCTCCACAGGATATCTACATGCCATACTACACTACACCCTAATAGATCTCATTTGACTTTTTCAATAAAATCTTGTTTACTTTCACCATTGTTTTTAACACTATATTATTAAAGCAATTTTCTTCTGATAATGCAATACCTTATAAGAGTAATCCCCAAGTAAAATTGCCATAAGATCACAAACTTAGGTTTATCCACAAAAGTCTTTGCCAGTTAGTTTGATAGACTTTACCTCCCCATCATCAGTTAACCCTAACTAATGAAAATTTCAATCCTTTAATCAGTCTAAATAAACATACATGAATCTCTATTAAAACATTACACAAATAACCCGAAATGACGATTCGATTCTTAGTAGCCAGTTAGTCTTAAATTCTTTGTTATTATAGCATATATCCAAATATCTACTGAACTAAAAATATCCCATGTCTACAATGGAACAACTTATCATCAAATCCACCCCATCTAAACACACTGTTATTAATGCATAAAACTAAAATATAAAATTGTAAACATTCAAATTAATTCATTCTGAAAAGATGGCATTTAAAAAGGAAAAAAAAATTATTACCCTTTTCACAAATTAAAAAAAAAAAAAAAAAAAAAAAAACCCATCTTGCAGAAATTAACACTTAATTTAGCAAAAATGAACAATCGGACAAATTCATAGCGCATCAATGCAAATTTAAGCAAGATCTAGCAATTAATTTACCTCAATGAAGGCATAAATTATCTGCAACCTTCAAAAAATGGCAACAAAATGTGAGTTATACTATAATCTGAGAACTTCAAACTTAAATAGCTAAGAAATATCGACAAAATTAATATTTTAGTGATAATTATTTACTATTATTAAAATCTAACAATGGAAAGAATATCATCGAGATGGAAGAATGGGTTTCCTAAAATGGTAATCTAAATTACAGAAATTCGGATTTCAAAATTATTTACTGTAATAATTTTAGGAGGAAATTGAAAATAGAAAGAATAATTATTGTGGAAATAAAAAAAAAAGAAGATTATAAGGAAAAATTAGGTGAGAAATTTCGTAGTTTTTGGGAAACTGGTTTTGGGGGTTTGACGCTGCAGATTTAACAGCACTTACAGCAGAAGAGAGAGAAAGAAAAATGGAGGAGTGGGAATGATAGTGAGATGTTGAAAGCAGTGATACACACGCTTGACAAATTAAAATTACGAGTAAAATAAAATACGAGTAGAATGTATCCATACAAATGCACGAGATATTACTGTTACGGAAACTTGATACTCCTTAATACGAGTACTATGATACAGAGTACGTGAGAAGTTGTTTAAGGAGAATTCAACTATTAATTGATTATGTTATCATATATATATTTGACGTTTAGTTTAAGAATTGGTAACAACTAATGATCTAATTACTATGCATATCTATAGGAGCAAGATAAACTTAAGTTCAAATGTTAACGAGACTTTTTCATATTTTTGGAATGATTAAATAAATTTAGATCAGGAGAGATTAATGAATCGATTGTAGCTAGTGTAGTTTTTTGAATGATTTTGGAAGGATGACTTAGAATTAATGTTTATTTTACCTTAATGCTTTCACTTTTGGCTCTCTTATTTAAGACCCCGGACGTTTGTTAGATTTTGTGTTACTTAATTAGGGTTTTAAAGTGATGTGGTTATAATTTTATCAAACAAATAAAAGGAAAAAAAATTCTAGCCATCATCTTCTATTACAATTAAGTTACCTTTCTAAATTAAATGCTTTGTAATTTTATAAATTTTCAATCAGTGAATTTAGCACAACAATCCTCAATCAAATAGGTGATAGGGTGGGGGACCCCCGTATCTTACCGCATAAAAAAATAAAAATAAAAAATCCTCAATCGATTACATGTTTTTTCTTTTTTGAAATCCGCTACCCTATGAACTAGATATTATTAATACTCAAACAAAAATCAAAAGCAACCAGATCTTCCGCCACACTTAGACAACCCCAACCCACACTCTTTTCAAAAACTCAAGCAGGGTGAGGTTAGACATAACGTGAGCAAAACAATTTGCTTCTTTAAACGGGACCTCTTATTTTATTTAAGTCGATTAAATTATCTAAAATTATGTACCGCTCAAAAGATAACACTAAAAAAATATGGAAAGAGTACTACTATTAAACAAAAAATAAAAATATTTTTCATATGCTTTGACAAATCCCCAACTTTTCTACTTTGTATTTTGAAAGAAACGAGGGGAGGGGAGCATTTTATTAAGTTGCATCAAGCTCTGCAAGAGTGATAAAACTCTGCGGAAAAGGTTCAAAAATTACATGCTCCTCCACATTTGGGGGACAAGAGACCACATTACCACCACCTAGGTAAGGACATTTTAGTTTTCACTTGCATCCAAAAAGCCAATATAATTATTTTGTATTTTGAGGTCTAAAACATTTTAATTTTGTTTAAAATTCAAGCTAATTTCCCTTGTAAACACTCCAATGCACAGAGTATATTAGTTTTTTTTTATTGTTATTTTTTTTTTTTTTACAGGAGTTTTTTTTTTATTGTTTGAAATACATACTTCGTAGTTTACAATAATTATATTTTACTCTTGTTTAAGTGATACAAATTGACTTTTTGACTATTGAAGTATTATTTGGTTGATGGTCAAACATGTCACTTAACTAATCTTGTCAAATCCACTCTATAGATAGTGCTTCTACTTAAGGATTAAGATAGCTACAACCACTAGACTAGTCTTGGCTAATTTCATTAAAATGATACTTGGTAAAAGATTCATAAACCGCCATTATAATCATTGATTATAAATCTCTCTCAAACCATATGGTTCAACATAGATTACATTTCCTTGTAGATTCAGATGTTACTAAAAGAGAAAACTGATGGCGTGAAAATTGGAGACTGTATGTCTGTTGACTTGAGAAATGTATCAAATGAGGTAATTTCTAGCTGATGTTATGAATGACCGTTGTCCAAAATAGCGAATCAACAGTTCCACAAACCTATTCTTACCAAGGTTTATAGAAACAAGTCTGAAAGGATTGAGTGATCAGCTGCATTCTAAAACCTGATAGTGAACAGACCACAAACCTTTGAAGCTAGAAAAAGTCAGCCTATGTACGTATATCAATCACCATAACCCCCAAGACCCAATATATTAGTATCAGTGAATTGATGTAGAGGTACTAAATTGACAAATTCCTACATTAGCAGCAACTGAAGCTTGATAGATCCTGTTTCGGGGTTTTCTGATGTCCTGCGGGAGAGTTACAATTCCGAGACTGGAACCGGACGCCTGTACCTGCAAAATAACGGAGACTCCTGTGAGCTCCGCCTCCAACGGTCAAGTTAGTACCTGATTAAGGAGTAATAAGTGCGGAAATTAAAGGGGGAAGATCTGGTTCCTCTAGGGGAGGAGTGATCAATGTGTTTAGACTTCTCCAGGTGAGAGTCATTAATTGCTGAATCCCCTTTAATGAGGATTAATTAAGTATTTATAGTCTTGAGAAGCGTGCCACTCTCTAGGTTTAGGGTAAACCTAGGGCTGACCGGGCCTCTAAACAGGATTGGGCCTTGTTGGCCGGTTTTCCCATTTGGCATGGGTGGACACGTGGCGTGTCTCAATTGGTCCGTAGAGGACGTATCTGTGATTGACACGTGGCAGGCTCCTATTGGCCTACGTGAAGGACACGTGGCGGAACCTGGTTGGTCCACTTGTCAGACGGTGATTGGTGGATAAAAATCCCCTAATCATTTGCCCCTCACAGGTGGCACGTGACTGGTCACGTGTCACCTGTGACAGGTGCCGCACGGTGACAGGCGACGGCCTGCTACAGGTGTCACCTTGCAAATGGCCGAGAGATTTTCCCGCCCAAATTTTGAATTTGGAAGCGACCCTTCGCCTTCTCACTTTGCCTATATAAGGAAGTGCTGACTTCGGTCATTTTCACATTTGAGAACTTTGCGAGAACATTCGGACCCCTGAACTTGCTCTGACATTTCGGACCTTTTCTGCCTACCGCCTGTTCTGACAAGCCGACTGCACAGGATTTTCAGAACTTCATCAACCGTCACTCGTTCAGGTAACTGTCAGTTCTCTTACTCTTAATTTTTCTTTTTATTTTTTGAAATGGCACCACGGAAGCACACGACACGACCTAAGTTAGTGATCAGCCGGTCACCGGGGACGGCTGAATCTAGGACTAGGAGTGCCGCCTGCCCTTTTCTGGACCCATCTTTGCCCTTTATACAAAGTCCGACTGTATCTGTGTCTATGCAGAACGTGATGGCCAGAACAAAAAAGACTGCTATGATCTCAAACTCGGACGGCTCCTCCCAAAGGGTGCTCATTAGTGAAACATCTGACCAGGCGCCAGATGTAGAAGTGAAACGAGGCGGCTGCCAAGCCGACAGTTCTGAGGGAGGGGTCAAGGTGGTCCCTTCCCATTTCACCGTTGATATGTCTAATTTTCCTCCTGCTCCTTCTAAGGGAGAGGAGGCGGGCCCCTCTGGGAGAGGGGAGGAGTCGTCCTCTTCGGACTCGTCAGAGGACGAGTCCGAGTCCAGCTCTTCTGGCCACGCTTCTCCAGGCTCAGAAGAAAGAAACAGCCGCCTACAAGAGGCGAGGCTTTCTCATGCAGTTGAGAAGGGGGGCAATTGGGCGGAGCCGTTCGCCTCTTACAGAGAGGAAAACACCCCCTACTACTGCACGGTACCCCGGGGCCGGATCGCAGCCATGCAAGACAAAGTGGAGAGCTTTATAGCTAACCACAGAATGGGCCCCGGATTTTTACTGTTCGTGCCGGATCCAGAAGACACTGTCGTCTGGCCGGCTGGTACCAGCTATGATGACGGCTGCTTTGGCTGCTATGTGGCGGCCATCAAAGCTGGACTGCGCTTCCCATTACATCCGGCTGTTCAGCGGATTTTAGATGGGTATGATTTGGGGTTATGGCAGTTAGCCCCCAACTCTTGGGTAAACGTACTCGGCTATGTGGCCGGGTGCGAAATGTACGGGGTGGAGCCAAGCTTTGAGGCTTTCGCCCACATGAACTATCTCAGTCGGACCCCTAAGTCGGGAGGTACCGGCTGGTATCAATTAACAAGCCATAGGGGCTACCTCATGACGAGAGGTAAGGCGAACAAATGGAAGGATTGGCGGAACACCTTCCTTATCATCGAGGGTTCAAACACGGAGCTGAACAAACGCTTTAACAAGTGGAATAGGGATCCGCCTCTTCTCGCAGGCGGCCGCAGCATGCCGCCTGTTCCCCCAAAGGCTAAAAAAGAGATCCTAGACAAAGGACTCTTCAAAGTAGAGACTAGGGTGAACTCTACTTCAGGGGTACGAGAGCAAGTACCCCTAAACTGCGTCCCGAGCTTCAAGTGGCTCTATGACGAGTACCTTTTGGCCGCCTGTGGCCTCAGCAGTCGGTGCTCTAGAGGTAGCCGGCCTGACAAATACTCTGTTTTTTCACGCCTTGTTTACTTGGGATTTTTACTAACTTTGCTGTTTATTTTTTGCAGCTGACGCCATGAGTAAAATAACAGCATCCAAGACTGCGGCGGCCATGTTGCGGACCTCTCTCATGCAACAGTCTTGTACCGACTCCCCCAACAAGGGGGCACCCTTGGTAGGCTTCGAAACTCTTCCTCTTTTAGGAGTTGTCTTATGCATATACTAACTCTCTCTCTTTTTATTTTTATTTATTTATTTTTTTTTTTTTTTTCAGTCGGGCACTCCAAGAGCTTCTTCCTCGCAACAGCCGGACCCCAAGGCCCGGAGGACGACTGTTGCAAGCTCTCCTGGGTCTTCCAGGAAAACAGTGGCGGCTGAGAAGCAGCCGGCCACTTCTTCTAAAACTCCGGCGGGGCCGCCTAGAAGTATGGACAATTGTAAAAACTTTTACACTTGCTTCCTTCATGACTAGGTCTAACTTGCTTTTTTACGCTTGATGCAGTCGGCCCTCAGGGGCCTGACTTGGTAGAGGTAGCCAAGTCCATGATCAAAGTAGTTCCTCCATCTGAAAGGGAGGCGGTCAGGGGTGTCGGCACCCTTGACCTTGATGGGATTGCAGGGGTCCTTGCTGAGGTATACTTTTTGAGTATTTGAATTCCAGGACGCCTGCTATCTTTTTTGTTTGGAAACTGACGCCTGTTTTTTTTTT